TTGGGATGTCCCCCAACTCGTGTATGTAATTGGAATGGGACATTTCGGACATTTAGGATGGTACAAAACTTTTTCAAAATGGGATATCCGTATTATCTTTGGAAAACGGCTGTTTTGTACGTTAATTATCAACCGTCGGATTATTTTAATTGGGCTGACTCTGTTTCAATACCGATTTATTCGGGGCGCGAATAGAATACACTTCGGATGTCCCTCAACCCGTGTATGTAATTGGAATGGGACATTTCGTAAATTTAGGGTGGTACAAAATCAATTTAATTTGGGATATCCGTATTTTCGTTGGAAAACGGCTGTTTTGTACGTTAATTATCAATCGTTGGATTAATTCAATTCGGCCGACTCTGTTTCAATACCGATTTATTCGGGGCGCGAATAGAATACACTTTGGATGTCCCTCAACCCGTGTATGCAATTGGAACGGGACATTTCGGACATTTAGGATGGTACAAAATCTTTTCAAAATGGGATATCCGTATTATCTTTGGAAAACGGCTGTTTTGTACGTTAATTATCAACCGTCGGATTAATTTAATTGGGCTGACTCTGTTTCAATACCGATTTATTCGGGGCGCGAATAGAATACACTTTGGATGTCCCTCAACCCGTGTATGCAATTGGAACGGGACATTTCGGACATTTAGGATGGTACAAAATCTTTTCAAAATGGGATATCCGTATTATTTTTGGAAAACGGCTGTTTTGTACGTTAATTATCAACCGTCGGATTAATTTAATTGGGCTGACTCTGTTTCAATACCGATTTATTCGTGGCGCGAATAGAATACACTTTGAGAGTCCCTTAACCCGTGTATGCAATTGGAATGGGACATTTCGGACATTTAGGATGGTACAAAATCATTTCAAAATGGGATATCCGTATTTTCGTTGGAAAACGGCTCTTTTGTATCGTTATTATCAATCGTTGGATTAATTTAATTGGGCTGACTCTGTTTGAATACCGATTTATTCGGGGCGCGAATAGAATACACTTTGGATGTCCCTCAACCCGTGTATGCAATTGGAACGGGACATTTCGGACATTTTGGATGGTACAAAATCTTTTCAAAATGGGATATCCGTATTATCTTTGGAAAACGGCTGTTTTGTACGTTAATTATCAATCGTTGGATTAATTTGATTGGGCTGACTCTGTTTCAATACCGATTTATTCGGGGCGCAAATAGAATACACTTGGGATGTCCCCCAACCCGTGTATGCCATTGGAACGGGACATTTCGGACATTTTGGATGGTACAAAATCTTTTCAAAATGGGATATCCGTATTATCTTTGGAAAACGGCTGTTTTGTACGTTAATTATCAATCGTTGGATTAATTTGATTGGGCTGACTCTGTTTCAATACCGATTTATTCGGGGCGCAAATAGAATACACTTGGGATGTGTCCCAACTCGTGTATGTAATTGGAATGGGACATTTCGGACATTTAGGATGGTACAAAATCTTTTCAAAATGGGATATCCGTATTATCTTTGGAAAACGGCTGTTTTGTACGTTAATTATCAACCGTCGGATTATTTTAATTGGGCTGACTCTGTTTCAATACCGATTTATTCGGGGCGCGAATAGAATACACTTCGGATGTCCCTCAACCCGTGTATGTAATTGGAATGGGACATTTCGTAAATTTAGGGTGGTACAAAATCATTTCAAAATGGGATATCCGCATTTTCTTTGCAAAAACCGGTCTTTTGTATCGTAATTATCAATCGTCGGATTAATTTAATTGGGCTGACTCTGTTTCAATACCGATTTAATCGGGGCGCGAATAGAATACACTTTGGATGTCCCTCAACCCGTGTATGCCATTGGAACGGGACATTTCGGACATTTAGGATGGTACAAAATCATTTTAATTTGGGATATCCGTATTTTCGTTGGAAAACGGCTGTTTTGTACGTTAATTATCAATCGTCGGATTAATTTAATTGGGCTGACTCTGTTTCAATACCGATTTATTCGGGGCGCGAATAGAATACACTTTGGATGTCCCTCAACCCGTGTATGCCATTGGAACGGGACATTTCGGACATTTAGGATGGTACAAAATCTTTTCAAAATGGGATATCCGTATTATCTTTGGAAAACGGCTGTTTTGTACGTTAATTATCAACCGTCGGATTAATTTAATTGGGCTGACTCTGTTTCAATACCGATTTATTCGGGGCGCGAATAGAATACACTTTGGATGTCCCTCAACCCGTGTATGCAATTGGAACGGGACATTTCGGACATTTAGGATGGTACAAAATCTTTTCAAAATGGGATATCCGTATTATTTTTGGAAAACGGCTGTTTTGTACGTTAATTATCAACCGTCGGATTAATTTAATTGGGCTGACTCTGTTTCAATACCGATTTATTCGTGGCGCGAATAGAATACACTTTGAGAGTCCCTTAACCCGTGTATGCAATTGGAATGGGACATTTCGGACATTTAGGATGGTACAAAATCATTTCAAAATGGGATATCCGCATTTTCTTTGCAAAAACCGGTCTTTTGTATCGTAATTATCAATCGTCGGATTAATTTAATTGGGCTGACTCTGTTTCAATACCGATTAATTCGGGGCGCGAATAGAATACACTTTGGATGTCCCTCAACCCGTGTATGCAATTGGAACGGGACATTTCGGGCATTTAGGATGGTACAAAATCATTTTAATTTGGGATATCCGTATTTTCGTTGGAAAACGGCTGTTTTGTACGTTAAGTATCGATCGTCGGATTAATTTAATTGGGCTGACTCTGTTTCAGTACCGATTTATTCGGGGCGCGAATAGAATACACTTTGGATGTCCCTCAACCCGTGTATGCAATTGGAACGGGACATTTCGGACATTTAGGATGGTACAAAATCATTTTAAATTGGGATATCCGAATTTTCGTTGTAAACTGGCTGTTTTGTACGTTAATTATCAATCGTCGGATTAATCTAATTGGGCTGACTCTGTTTCAATACCGATTTATTCGGGGCGCGAATAGAATACACTTTGGATATCCCTCAACCCGTGTATGTAATTGGAACAGGACATTTCGGGCATTTAGGATGGTACAAAATCATTTCAAAATGGGATATCCGCATTTTCTTTGCAAAAGCCGGTCTTTTGTATCGTAACTATCAATCGTTGGATTAATTTAATTTGGCTGACTCTGTTTCAATACCGATTTATTCGTGGCGCGAATAGAATACACTTTGAGAGTCCCTTAACCCGTGTATGCAATTGGAACGGGACATTTCGGACATTTAGGATGGTACAAAATCATTTCAAAATGGGATATCCGTATTATCTTTGGAAAACGGCTGTTTTGTACGTTAATTATCAACCGTCTGATTAATTTAATTGGGCTGACTCTGTTTCAATACCGATTTATTCGGGGCGCGAATAGAATACACTTCGGATGTCCCTCAACCCGTGTATGTAATTGGAATGGGACATTACGGACATTTAGGATGGTACAAAATCATTTCAAAATGGGATATCCGCATTTTCGTTGTAAACGGCTGTTTCGTACGTTAATTATCAATCGTCGGATTAATTGAATTGGGCTGACTCTGTTTCAATACCGATTTATTCGGGGTGCGAATAGAATACACTTTGGATGTCCCTTAACCCGTGTATGCAAATGGAACGGGACATTTCGGACATTTAGGATGGTACAAAATCTTTTCAAAATGGGATATCCGTATTTTCTTTTCAAAAACCGGTCTTTTGTATCGTAATTATCAATTGTATGATTAATTTAATTGGGCTGACTCTGTTTCAATACAACTTTATTCGGGGTGCGAATAGAATACACTTTGGATGTCTTTCAACCCGTGTATGTTATTGGAACGGGAAATTGCTGGCATTTAGGAGGGTACAGAATCATTTTACATTAAATACCTGCGTACGTACGTGTCATAAAAGTATCGTAGAGGGCGCTAAACAACCCTGTAGTTTGGGAAAAGAAAATTGCGGCCGGGCCGTTTGACTTTGAGCATTCATTTTGATTACGATTTACTTTAGAGTCGAATAAACACCGCCATACACAAAATATTGTTAAGAACATCATCCTTTATTGATTTAAGCAAAAAAATGCAATCAAAATTTTATTGCATGTTCCCTTTAAGGTAATTCACTGTGATAAGAAGTTGAACTATCTTTATAATTCGTTTTCTCCTAAGGTTTATTTGCAATGGCTGTCTAGGGCCACCGTAGTGGTAATCTTCACGGCGGCGCGCCGCCGTAAAAATAGTGCCTAGCCGAAAATCCGGCCAGCCGAAAATCTGGCCTGATTTTCGTGCCAAGATCAGCCTGGTCCTGCCCTTCCCCCGAAAGGAGAACACAAATCCCTGAGGCAAGTCTACTGATCGGCGATTGAGGGCGCCATTCACTTTACACGGTGTGCCGTTTTATTTTCGCTAACGCGCGGTGCTTATTTTGATCCCGTAAAAGTTGCGATTTCGCGCTGCAAATATCGTCGTTCGACTTCATTTTACATTTGCAGCTGAAGAATGGAAACCAGGCAATGGAACTTTCATGGACAGAGCGCAATTAAAGATTTATGTTAAAATATAAGCGGTATCTTTTAGCAGACACGGTGAGGGAAAATTTTGCAAGTTTTGGAAAACGTTAATATTTATTAAAATCGTTAAAAGTCCCGAAAGACACAACATTTTTTAATCGTCCTTTTTATACAACTCGGTAGAAAATCCTTGATGACTGGTGAACTGGATAAAAATCGCCACTTGAAGGAGTTTTGACACTGTAAAAAGAGAAATTTCCCATGCCGCGATAATAGGGATGCCGCGATAATAGGGAGTCCGACTATACTACCGCAACGATAGAAAATGGGAAATGCGTTAGCCTACGGCTGCCATAACGACGAAGCCACTGCGTTATTGTGAGCAGTTAATTGGCACTTGGCAGTCACTTTTTCCGTGTGCAAAAACTGTACTACAGCTTCAAATTCCTACCTCTGTCCAAAGAATGCTGAAGCTTATATTCACTTATTTACAGTCAAATTACAGAGCTGTTCTGGAAAAAAAAGATAAAAAATAAAAATCGACACGGACAGGGCGAATTAATGACGGAACTAGACTGCAAAACGTACGGCGATTGAGGGCGGGCTTCTAGTCAGCAGCTGAGAGCAGAAGTGGTCTTTTTCAAACCTCGGCTTCGTCCCCGGTTCGGCTTTGCCTAAGGATCCGGCAGCATGTCATATCAAAACCTGAGGAAATACTCTTTAAACGTTTGCCTAATTCCACAGAATTTAAACTCACTGAAGCAGAAAGGGGTCATATCGCAGTCCCTCAATTCAAAGCTTGTAACAAACTGTCTCAAAGCTTATAAATGGAGACGAAGCCTATGAACTCACTTGGTTAACATTATGTGATGTCTAGGGCGTCGACGCGACGGTGTGCTCGTGTCGGACAGTAAATTTGAATTCAACCGTAAATCGGATTGACCAGCAAGCTGGCAGGCCTGTAGTCTCGTGTCAGACCAAAATCAGCAGTCTTACAAAAAGCAAATAAATTTGTGTTCCGGCATGGGCGCTTGCAGAAGGTCTACCGTCTTATGTTATAGGCAGAATACTTGGTCACTTAATTGTGTTAAAGGGAATGTTACAACATTTGCTTTTGCTGCAAATTTCAGAAATAAATAGATTTGGAGGATTAGTATGTTATAGAAAATAAACTTACTTGTTTCACGTTTTGGGCTTGTAGATGCTGGAAAAACCAAAAGAAAACCAAACCAATCATGCTCTTGTAGTCTGGTTCCCTGACCCCACTTAAGATGAAAGAAGCAATTTATAAACATCAGGGAATTGTAAGGTCAGATGATCAGTCTAGCAGGCTTGCACCCCTTCAATCAATTGCAAAGAAAATGCGGAATAACTAAATATGATTAATTTGGAGCAGTTTTTGAAATAAGCCAGTTTTCTCCAATGCTGATCGGACGACCAGTGTTGGAAAAATACAATTTTTCTTGAAAATGTCAGCACACCAGGAGCCATGATTTTACCGGATGCTTTAGACTGTCATTCCCTAAGAATCTAGTCGGGTGTATCGTGATAGTTGGATCATTTTCATTTTTGATGTTTGCAAATGTTGTATCTTCCCTTTAACGGCTTATAGTTTTCCCTTCTCTCAATAGCTCCATGTCCGATCCGAGCTTACGATTAAACACTGACAGGGTGGTGCAAAAAGATGGAAACCCACTTTTGACAGCGATTTTAACCTACTTGTTGAGCATATTTCAAACATTCAATTTATGGTATTCAAACATTGATCTTTAAACATAAGTGACGGAAAAAATGATTGCAAATGCATATTTTGTCTCTTTAAAACTTTTTTTAAGTTTAAAAATTTCATGTGCCAAACCTGTTTGTCCACGGACGGCTTTATTCAATCCGCTTGACTGAGCTCCGGAGCTTGATTTGAAGACAAAAACAATACACTAGACTTACACGTGGACAACAGTGATTTTGGTGACTTGTATTCAAATCAGCACTAATATCACTATTCTTGCCAATTTTTTAAAAGATTTTTTTTTTTCACCACGTACATTTTGGTTGAAGAGCTAGCTATAGGCATTATTCACTTCATTATAAACAACAGTTCAAGTAAGTTAAGTAAGAAGGTTATCATTACTGTCAAAAGTGGATTTCCTTCTTTTCCTGTACACCGAAATCCTTTCCTCTGGATTCGGCTAAAACTACATTCACTCAAAACCTATAATGCACAAACTATTATTGATTTTACTTTTTAATGTTTCATTTATCTTGTGGTGTATGATATATTTATATAAATACTTGAAGCAGACTTCCAAAATCATTAAAATGATTTACCGCTCTTGGCTTTATTATTGTAGTATATAGGCTAAAGGTATTGTACACACAAATACAAAAAAATCTAATAACTGATTGGAATGTTGGTCATGTGGTATGAAATACTTGGACAACGGGACCTGTGAATGCAACAGGACCTATGCATGAGTTTTCAAGCGAATAAAGTTTCACTTTTTATTTCAAAAAATCGTAAACAAGTTTGTTTTTGCCTATCAGGCAGTTGCTGTGACGGTGTAACCGCTTGCCTTCCCCTATTTTGAAAGTTGCCAAAGTTTAAGTTTCACTTTTTCTTTTATGAATAGGGAGCTATTGCATTTTTGTTTTTAAATCTGTGCCAAAAGTTGAAGAAATTCTCAGAGCAATGGCGTTCACCTTGATGTAGAAGGAAAATTCAATCATCTGCAAAGCTGGGAAAGTAAAAAAAAAAAAAAAAAAATCCCCAAAACAAGGATGTTTGTCAAAAATTCATTTGTATGTAAAGGTGAAAGTTAAACCATGCATGTCAGTAGATCAGCTTTGCCTATTTTTTATTTCATATCAGTCCCCAATGCTGAAATAATTTTTCAATCTACCCATTAACTTATCTTCATTCAGTACAATTAGTACCGCAAATATAGAAATGGGATCGTGACTTTGATGATACAAGCATGGAATTTGGCACACAGTCAGAGTATGTCATGAGAAAGATATTTGTACAGGGGCATCGCAGATTTGTCCTTTGAAAAAAATTAAGGTATCAAGCAAAAGCAGCCATTTTGAAAATTGTGAAAATCGCTTGTTATTCTACCAATATTTTTTCAAAGGACAAATCTGCGATGGCCCTAGAGCCAAAATCATCAAAGGTACAATTTCCCCCAAATATTTCCCCTATCTGCCCCACTAAATGTAGTATTATATTGATTTTGTTATTTTGCAAAAAACAACAAAATTAAAAAGGGTGAAATGTGTTAGTTTATGTGCGGTGCATTTCTAAATCTACTGGGATTTACGCTACCACAACTTATTGTTACTTGGCTTGACTTTATTTCCATTCCAGGGCAACGGTACATATAAATTAGCCACTTGAGTACAAGGCGAGTCACAAAAAAGCGGAGCCTCGAAACAAAGAAAGAAAGTTCGTTTAGAACTTACAGCAGGACTGTTCTTATCAGAACAAAAAAAAACTACTTAGCAAAGTTGATAATAAGCAGGGCAAGTTCTTTTCAGAACTAATATCTTCTAAGCAGTAGTTATTACCACATGGTGTTACCGCAAACCGAAACGATAAAGAAAGAATCTATTTCATATAAAAAAAACTATGTAGCATAGATTATTATAATTTAGTTGGAAGCCCATTTATAAAACTACTTTGAAGTGAAAAAAAAAATTACAATTGCTCTACGTGTTAACATTGTATCACTGTATAAACGACGTAACCCTAAATTCAGTTTAGTAAAAAAAAAAGCTATTTATTGTGTGTTCTTTGCTGTTTGGAAAAAAACAAAGAAAATGACACAGAATACTCGTTTCAACAACTGTAGTACACAATATCTTTATTAACAACCCTGCTTTGGCTAACAATGTTTTTGATAGACGGGCCTTCAAAAGAACTTTATTGAATACGTTTAACTCTTAAACTAAGGTTTTATCACTGGTGGTGTTTGAAGACAATTGTAACGACAATTTTTGAAATCGCATTTTAGGAAGAAACAGATGTTAGTGTCACTTCGTTTAAATGGTGATATAATTTGAACGAATTGAGCAATTTAGGTAATTTTTGTCCTCTAAAAATAGTCTTTAAATTGGCTTACAAGTCATAATTATATTTTGGTGCTAGCGCTACATATTTTTTTCAATATGAAATAAATTTCTTTGGGTTTGGGTCCTGCTTTTTTGTACTCACCCTGTAAAAACGAAACCCAAATGGCGGACCAATTTTTGAATGACGTTTTGCCTGTAGCACTATCAAAATCTAGGATATGAAAGCCCTGCCATTAAGCTTTCTTTAGTACAGGAATCATTTAAATCACTCTTGCACTTTTCAAATTACGGAATTTTGAACACAAACACCGTTTTTAACGTTCTGTCCACGGATCACTAAAAAGGTAAGTGTTCTTTCAGCAAAACGAAAACACTTCAAATGCATTGCATCTCTGGCCCTTTGAGAATTGTTTTCGTTTTGCTGAAAGAACATTAACTTCTTTTGTGATCCGTGGACAGAACTTTAAAACATTGTGTTCAAAATTTCGTAACTTGAAAAGTACGTGTGACCTGAATGATTCTTGTTCTAAATGAAAGCTCATATGTTGGGCTTTCATTTCGTAGCATTTCGTAACAGGCAAAGCTTCATTCAAAAATTGGTCCTGCCATTTGGGTTTCGGTTTTTTTTATTTGACTCGCCCTGTATAATACAAAACCATGACAAAATAAAAAATTTAAAAAAATAGTTTTCATGGAGTTAAGAATTATAAAGCAGGGATGGAGGGGACCGCAAGAAACCATGGCTTCATTCAAAAATTGGTCCTGCCATTTGGGTTTCGTTTTTTTTTTATTTGACTCACCCTGTATACTACAAAACCATGACAAAATAAAAAATATAATAAAATAGTTTTCATGGAGTTAAGAATTATAAAGCGGGGATGGAGGGGACCGCAAAAAGCCATGGCTTGTTGAGTGCGAGTCCCCTGTATTTGAATAACCACAACAGTTACAGTATGTTTGCAATACAGTTAAATGAACTGCCCCGACAGTAAACTGATGCTGATCACGATCCAGCACTGTACACTGTCTATGAAGATTCCATCCCTTTTGCTTTGTACAAGCAAGTCAGCATCTGTGGGACTTGAATCGCAAAATGCACCCATACTGGAACTTGTATCATTGTGGAGACATCTCGTTGTTCTCGTGAACTAACAGTTTAGAGTGTGAAAATGTAGTTTGAAAATGCTCTTATTTTATTCAGAATGAATTTCTTGGGCTGAAATTCGGACCAACTATCCCTTAGGCCAAAAAAAAAAGTCTCCGGTTTCTGGTATGCGCGCGCGTCGCCGTAGCCATGCGCGTCGGCAAAATGAAAAAGGTTTTTTTTCAATACAAGATGATGTCTCAAAACCGCCAAACTCACTGGTTTGACTGGAATCCTGCTGCTGCACAATTTTAACGTGTTTTTAGATGGGGTTATGATCGAGAATAAGCTTTATGTGGCCTCTCTGGACTCCCATATATTTGCACTAAGTTTAGTCGGGCACCATTTGCAGTCATCAGCCGACATTTGAAGCCAAAAAAAAAAAAAAAAAGCCGCGTCGCCGCACCACTTTTGGGGCAAGCTCCATACCAGAAACCGGAGACTTTTTTTTTTGGCCTTACATAAAATACTTCAATTTGCGACCGTTAAACACACCTTGGAAAATCCACATTTCGTGAAAACCTTGTGGAAACTATTCACCTTGTGGAGACCTTTACAATCTTTTGTTCCATATTGGACACAGTTTCCATAAGTTTGCGGTGAATTATTGTATACGACCATACGCGATGTGTATGAGAAGTGTCAGAGTAAAAACATTTTGTGAGCAGACAACTATAATACTCCACCATGGAGGGATGTACTCACTGGAAGATAGATAGATGATGTATCAAGTTGTGATTAGTAAAACCAGACATGATAATAACCCATTCTAAACCGAAGCAAGGAAGTAAACACATAATGGTTGCGTTCAGTCTCAAAAAGTTTTGAGTGGTTTTTTTTTTAACCACAGCCAAAGTTTTGTCGTTATGACTGATGTGACCACGTAAAAAAAAGCACCTGATCGGTAATTTTATCATGTGATGAGGAACTTTATATTGCTGCGGGCACAAATTAGTCAAAGCGAGCTTTTCAAAGCATCTGGGGCATTTACTATCAAACATTTCCTGATGAGGTTTTGTTCCAGTTGCAAAGCTAACAGTCAAGTTGACTGTGAAGTTTCTATAGTATACTTCCCAAAACTATAGGGAAAATCCCAGAATGTGGCAATTTTATTGAAGTGTGAATGTGCATACAATGATCCCCTCTTGTCAACAATGAAATGCCCACAACTTGGACCAGATTTTCAAACACGGGAAGGAACTTTCCAGCCGAGTTAAAAACACACACACACACACACAAAACAAGAGATTTAACTACAAAATGAGGTAACTACCAAAGTATGGGCATAAAATGACCAAACTTCTGTGTAGACGTCACATACAGAAATTGAAATTTTGTAGGAAAAAAAAGGGAAAAAAACCCAAAGAGATTGAACTACAAAATGATGTAACTACCAAAGTATGGGAATAAAGTGACTCAACTTCTGTGCAGACGTCACATACAGAAATTGATATTTGTAGAAATGAGCTGACAAAGTTATACTATTGTTTTATCTTTTAATCGACCATATTTTACTGCTGTGTATGTTTATAATCGAATAGTCTTGCAAACCTGTTACAATGTACGCGTATCATGTGTATTGGGATACCTTATAATAACCATTGTGTGCAAGGTTGTTAAAATCAAGGTTGTTCACAATCATATTAGGAATAAGCAATTCCACATATTAAAAAAATGGTCAATTCCTGACAATTTACAGTATCTGATGATTGTGAGAAATGTTCTCAACGTGGTACAGTATATATGTTTATGTTCTCTTCATAAAACTTATTCCATTTATGTGAAAGTATTTTATATTTTCTGCAACATGTCGAACATAGTCCTCCTTCACATGTACATGTATATTTATAATTTTCCTCACAAGGGTAGTGAATAAAGAACCATTTTTTTTTGCAAGAGTAAGTAGTTTGTAGAATAAAGGTTCTTTTAAAACAGTAATCTTTACAGTATTACACATTCAGGATTGTTTTTTTGTGTTATTGATTGATGAAAATTCATGAGATTTAAAATAACCAGCGTGATTCAGCACTGTTGGAAAGTTCTACTTGGAATCTCCCGTTTTAATTTTAGACATATTGCCGTTTGGACCACTGGGAATTTCCAAGTGGGAAATTTTGCCGATGTGCAAGCAATGTTTAATCAGAGACATCCTGATTCAGCAAGGAACACATTGTGAACACTGCTTGTTTCTGCCAAGAAGTGGCCTGATGGATTGAATAGGGACATTCCAAGTCTGAAAACCCATAACATAATTTAGCCAGTAGTAAGAAGACAGCATTTTCTGGATACGTGCCATACACAGAAATTGGGACCTCAGCCTTAATCGGTATTAAGAAAAAGGTTTCACAAATACAAAGCTTTCAATTAATATAACTCCTAAGATTTCAGAGTGGGTTTGTTCTTAGTTTCACTCCTGTTTTGTTTTGGAGTATTGTGGTTGTTTTTGTGGTTTTGTGGGTAAGATTTGTTTACGTTCATCTAAACCCTTTGTATTTCCTCCACAGGGTACTGAACTGTTTACAAAACAAGCGTTTGTATTACCTCTGCCAAGGAGATTATGTTTTCATCGGATTTGGTTAGTTTGTTTGTCGGTTGGTTTAGTTGGTTGGTTTGTCTGTCAACAAGATAACTAAAAAACTTATGGACGAATTTTCATGAATTTTCTTTTAGGGGTGGTCCTTGGTACAAGTACAAATCGATTAGATATTGGAAGTGATCCGGATCTGGGTCTGGATCCAGGATTTTTTTTGAAGGATGCTTCACCATTTATGCGAGTATTTCTTTTGGGTGTACTGACAATATGGCGGGGAATTGTTAAGACTTGGCGGAGGTTTGCGCTCTCAGTGTGCTTTCTAGTTGTTTCTAGTTTGAGAGTGTTTTGGCCCGTTTCTTTAAAGGGTTCATGAGATGATTTTTTTTTCTTAGGAACACATTTTGTGCAACTTTCCATTCCTCTATGTATGATAACTAGTTGACATCCCTTTTTTGGGGTAATTAATTTTATTGAAAAGTGCACTTCTTTAAGCATTTTTTAAAAATTCCATGCTTTTCTGGAAACTGTGGGTGCTGTTGCTGGGATGTCATTTCAGGAAGACACTGTTCGGTTTAGGGGTTTTCAGTTCATATTGTGAACCCACAAATTGGCTCATTGAAAACGTGTTTGCGGAAATTTTGCTCACTGGATTACTGCCATGTACTGACACAACAATGAATCAGCAAACAAAAGAAAATTTACAACAGCAAAATATCCACAATTCTGGCAACTTCTGGTTCTGAAAAAGCTGTAACACTGAAAGTTTCTGCCTGAAATGACATCACAATTTTGTTCATGAATATGTAAATTTGCATTGGCATAAAAACCAACAAACCCTTCAAAATGGCAAAACGAAAATTGAAAATTGAAAATATGGTTAAATGGGACACAAAGGTGCACTTTCAAGGATTGCATTAAAAAAACTACATTGCATGGCCCTTTAATTTTTTTAAGAGAACATTCTAATACATATCGGTAAATAAGAAATTGTACTGCATGGAGACAACCCTCATCAGGAACAGTCAAGAGAGCAATTATAATTGTACATCGATGAGCACAGGACCTTTTGGCTCTCAAATCACTTCCAGCATGTCATTTCTACAGGGAAGCTTCTCCAATTCCACTTCAAATGCAGGTTCACTAACACAAAACGATCTACATTTACACTGGCCCTTTGCATGTACAAGTATCACCTTGCCCATCGACAAATGATACTTTTCCCTTGATGAAACAGGTGGCAAGCAAGCTACCATAAGTACACCGCCAAATGGGGTCGCTTGAGTACTCGACTGCAGGCTACCGTTTACCCTCACTGGTATCCACTCTCACTATTGTGTTGATAGAAACACAATCCTGTTTGCTAGTGTGAAGTTACTCCAGTTTACACCACGCCCACTGCACACTGAGTAGCATTGAAACCACCGAAACCGGAAGTGAACGCAACTTGAGTGTCTATCCAATGGGCGCTAGTAATCAGTGCTACGCGCGTACGTGTGACAAAGTCACCAATGCACCGGATACGCTAAAAGAGCGCAGCCAATACATGGATGCAACATCGTTCATGGAACCCTGCTACTCTTCATCAGCATGCTGCGCAAACTTTCCACACATGGTCCACGCGAAAATCAAAACAACATTTCAGTCCCAAATCGGCATCATTTCACCAGTTTCCTCTTTTTCACCATCGGGGGTTTCATACCCCCTGAGAAGAAGGCGCCTGCATTTGGGGCGCCGATGGTCCCTGCTCCTGTCACTGAGTTGCTGTTGGCTTGCTGCTGCTGCTGCTGCTGTTGTCCTGGTTCTTCTTTTACCTCCTCCTTGATGGAAACGGTGCCGTTCTGATGCTCTGAGACTACCGGGATGGGTTTCTCGCCAGGTTTGGCCTGTGGTATTCGGAAGACGAGAAGAGAATTTGCCATTTAACACATGGCACATAACAGTTGCAATCCTTCTGCAGGATGTAACTGAACTATTATCCTGCAATACACCCACTGATGACAATGGCTGACCTACTTAAGGAAGGACACATTGCATATGCTGTGCATGAGTGCTGCATTTGAACACGGACCTCTACACAAGGATAAGCAACTCATCTGAGCTTGTGTACAAACTGTACGAAACGGTTTGTCTACATGCGTGATATGTCGCGTCCGCACATAGAGCAACGCATAGAACATGTAGAACAATACGCGCACACGCCATGATCACCGACAGAGGGCGTCCTGACAGAAACTTGACCACTGAAAGACTGCAGTCGCACGCCGAGTCACGCACGCACGACGCGGGAGTGCCATATCACGCCTCTAACCAGCAATTTGGGAAGTCGTTTATCCTTGTGTATACATGTAGGATCCCTGATTTGATTGACCCAGAAGATGCACCTCCTACTGAGTGTGCACAAACCTAAAGTGAGAGGAACTCACATGGGCATGGGTGTATGAAGCAAACAGCGCTCTGTGTCCGTCAATGACAGTAATGTTTTGCATTATTACTGTTAAACGCATATGATCTATACGTGGGCAATTCCAGCACCATGGAAGAAAATGTAATGTCGGTGACGCGGCCACTTAAAGGGAAAATACAACATTTGCAAACATCAAAAAATAAAACTACCAAATCATTTTGAAATACCTTGCTGGACTGTTAGTGAATGACAGTGTAAAGCATCCTGTAAAATCGTGGCACCTGGTATACTGTCATTTTCAAGAAAAGTGGCATTTTTGTATCAATTTCCAACGCTGGTCGGCCGACCAGTGTTGGAAAAAACTGGCTTTTTTTCACATACTGGCCCCAATTGACCATCGCACTTGTTTGCAATCGATTACACACCTATGAAAGGGTACAAGCCAGCTAGACTGGTTCCCTGACCTTACAATTCCCCAATGTATGTAAACTGCTCTGTTTCTTCTTATATGGAGTCAGGGAACCAGACTACAGGAAAACGATTGTTTTTCTTGGTTTTTATAGCATTTTCAAACCCAAAACCTCAAAAAAGTCAGTGTAACTATATTTGCTATATATTTCCAACCCCCCAATTCCATCCATTTCTGAAAATTACAGCAAAAGCAAATGATGTATATTCCCTTTAACCATGATCTAATAAATGATTCAGAAATGATACCAAACTCAGAGTCAGTAATCTCCTTGATCGGTGTTTCACAGGTAGAAGGTTCAGATCCCACCCCTGTATATTTCCTTGTTCACTCTTATGTAGTTTGAAGCAAGTTAGCTACCAACCTGGATAACTTTTGGAGGGAATTTTCTGGCCAGTTCTAGGAGGAGAACATCAACTCGTTGCCTCTGGAACATTGAGCTGGCTGCCTCTTCTTTCTTCTTCTTATTCTTCAGCTTCTCCTCTGCACAAACACGATAACAAAAAATTGGAGATAAAAATGGTGACTTCCCTTTTTATTCCATTTCGGTAAATTCTACGCTAAAGTGGATGTGGCTGAAAAGTGGAAAATTTGTGAAATCTCCAGAACTACAAGCATCCCGACCTCAAATGTGGCATCAAACGAAAGGGGACAACAAGGCCTTTTATTTGAGTGGTATGTCAGTGAGATAGAATATGGTTAAATGAATTTGGTTGTAAAAAAAAACTGGTTTTGGGCCAAAATTATAGGCTTGGAGCATTGGAGTAGAAAAGTTATTGGAGTAGAAAAGTTACTAAAATAATAAAATCTTTAAAAAAAAAACCTCTTTCACTGTGGTCCTCATTGTAATGATTCAGAAAAGAGTTCTCATTGTTATTTCATTTTCTAGTAGGCACATCTATTGGGCAACAAATGGTGTTTCCAATAGGCCTGTGTAGTGCTGTCTTTAAACAGATGATCCTCAGTGTCCAACAATGGTTTTGCACTGAGGGCCTTGGCTTAGATGTTAATTGAAATGAATCTTAACAGGGCGGACTGGTGCTTGTAAGTACCTGCTTGTTCTTGTTCTTTATCTTTAAACTCCCACCAGTAACCCTTGCTGGGGCTGTAACGGGAGAAGGACTGCGCCTCTTCAAATGCCGACTCGATGTGATGCAAGCCAGTCAGCTAAATAGCAGAAACATTGGTGTGAAAGGAAGACAAAAGATCATTGGTTTGACAGCCGATAGCAGTTGCCACCAGAGCAAACGTCACTCAGATCACTGTGAGGCCCGAAGATGTGAAAACCTTTTGTTGGAACAAAAAACATGAAAACTTAACAATAGGCTTATTTTTCATGCATTAAAAACGTGATAAGTCCACTTTTAACGTATGTTTTCATGTCTTTGGGGCTCAAAGTGTATATTATTCAGATGGTACCAAATCAGCCTACAGTACACCTATTGAATGAAGTCACTTGCTTCAGCAAAACATTTGGTTCAGTAACATTTATGGAAACACAGGTGGCTATGGAAGCACAGGTGGCCACAAAAGCACTAAGAATAACTATTACAGGGACATCTTTCATTCTCTTTTATTGAAAGGATACAGCATTTATCCAACCCTCCCCCCTCCCCCTGAATCCACTACACCTGTACACTATCCTACTACCACCTCCCTATAGCTACACTGTATGAACTCCTTCTTTTTGGATATTTTGACCAAGTGGAAATTGTGTAAATATTTTGCAATTTAGCCACAAATTATACGGTTTCTGAATTTTTCCCACAGCATTGCACTTCTGTTCTCTTATTCTGATATATACTACATGTACTTCCATCCATGTCCCTAAGAGGACCACTACCGAAAATCCCCACCACTAGTCCTATCTCCAACCCCACACCAGTGGCATTTGGGGCTATAGGTCAATTGACGCAAGAGGCTCAGGCCTGATTGAAACTTTAACATATACATGTATATGAAATGTTCATGTAGGTAAATTGTATAGATCAAATACACATTACAATACTAGCTTGATTGGAGCCATTTTTTGGTTTTTAATTACATTCCTTCCCCCCCCCCCCCCCCGCTCCTTTTTTTAGTAATGGGCTGCTTAAACAAAACAAAGTTCCCCTCCCTATGTCACTCCAGCCCTGCCCCTCACCATTCTGGAGTTGAGCACTGAGCAGAGGTCAGGAGCCTGGTAGACAACGCCTGCAATGATGTAGTAGTTGGCAAGGGGTGTGGTGTGCTCCACTGAATGCCGGTGTTGCTTCCTGATCACGTAGAGGATCGGTTCCTGGACATGAAGCAGCTCATATTCCAGCCCCGTCATTGTCCTGAGTTAGAAACAAAATACATGTACATAGCCAAATGAAAACATAATGATAACGGTTACGAACTTGCAGAGAAGCTAACATTGTGCTTTGCCTCATCAGTACATCATGGGAAAAGTTGACATGCATTTGTACATACATACATGTATTTCCATGTTATTATTGTTATGATTTTTTTTTTTGGCGGAGGGTTCTTACATTTTTTGATGCACATGCATGCTTTTAGATTGTAAGAAGGGTACATGTGCATGCGGCATCTTTGTTAGCCCTTTCTAAACAATTTTTGTGTAAATTAATAAAAAAAAAAAATTTAAATGAAAAAAATAAATAATGAACTATTATCATATTGCAAAGCGTACATGGCATGCAATTGAATAGCCCTGTTGTTTTAGCAACTCCTTTTTTCTTTACTTTAAATGGGTTGTTACATGTAAGAGTTAAACTTGCCGAACATGGCTGAATACAAACATTTTGTTGAAATTAAAAGATTGAACTCAATGCAGATTTTCAAGGGAAGAGTTGTGCCTTATCTAGCTTTTCAGAAATTTCACAATGTCCATAATAAAGGATAGTTACATGTAACTACGTTCATGTTCATGGATCAATGCATACTGTTTGGGCACTTTCATTTTGTACAATATCATATGAATTTGCTGTTGTGTGACCACTTTTACTTTAATGCCGTCCAATCCGGTGAGGGAATTTGTTCTCTTGTCTTTTATTTGCAGTATGAAAACAGTATCAAGTTCAAAAAAAAAAATAAGTACATGTACATGTTTATTAAATCCCAAAGCATTTTTGTTAGAAACCTTCCTATTGAAATTCTCTACCTATTAAAATTCTCAAAAACTGTAATCTACATGTATGACAGTGTAAATATTCACATTTGAACTCAGAACATTTCCTTTAACAGTTTAATGTTCCAATGCATGTGTCACCTCCAAATTGCAGCCATAAAAGTTCAGCATGATTTGCAGCTTAGGCCAAAAAAAAAAGTCTCCAGTTTCTGGTATGCGCGCGCGTCGCCGTAGCCAAAGTTTTTTTTTCAATGAAAGATGATGTCTCAAAACCGCCAAACTCACTGGTTTGACTGGAATCCTGCTGCTGCACAATTTTAATGTGTTTGTGGATAGGGTTATGATCGAGAATAAGCTTTATGTGGCCTCTCTAGACTCCCATATAATTGCACTAAGTTTAGTCGGGCACCATTTGCAGTCATCAGCCGACATTTGAGGCAAAACAAATCAGGAAAAAAAAAAAAAAAGCCGCGTCGCCGCACCAATTTTTGGGCAAACTAGAAACCGAAGACTTTTTTTTGTTAGCCTTACTAGATTTCAGCTTACTAAACCAAAGTTGAAGTGTTGTAATTAGATACACATTGAGAATGGAACGAACAAAGTTTGCTGGGGGGAAATCAGTAACTAGCATCTTTAGTCTTTTTACATGTCTTTTACAGTTTTTTACATGCTGTGCAATGCAATGTAGTCAACAAGCAGTGCAATTTCAACGCACTACATGTACATGTACATGTACGCACTTCTCCCTTTATTGAATGGATTCTATTCACGACCTGATTTACAGTGTATCTTTATCAAGAGGGAAAGTACCTATCCCACCCCCCTTCCCATTATATATCAGTGTGCCTCCCTTTTCATTTATCTGATTCTATAATCATCCCATAACTAGAGGGCAAAGGCTGAAGGCCAAGCTAAACATAGAGATTGTTGTTGTTCTTGTTCTTGTTGCTGTTTATAGCATGTATAGAGGGGGAAATTTAGGGGGTGCTGTCTTCCTCTTTTAGGGCTTGGAAATCCTGAATGTACCCATTTCCGGGTTCTTTTCAAAGCAGTCTAGTTTCCTCCACAAAATAACAAAAGGTTCTATTCTTTGAAATAGTCGTGGGGACTTTACCGGACACTTACACCAGGGGAAAACATTTATGACACTCATTTTTTCCTGAAGTTTAGTAATATAGTAATAATCATGTGCCTCTGCGAGATTTTTCCTGTTCAAAGCAATTATAAGCAATCATTTACATGTAGGCCTGTATGTTCCCAATTTCTTGCAATTTTTTTTTCCCACAAGTTTTATTTGTACTTCTATGACTCATGCAGTTTAGTTTTAAATCAAAGGCCCGATGAATAATGGCCTTGTTGGGTCGTGTTGCCACTTTATTGCCATTTTAAGCACATCCTGAAGAAATCTATATGGTTTGATGTTACATGTAAACCACATGTATCATAAATTTATACGACGTCTTCAGTCAAGAACTTTAGAGTCATTAAGATTTGCACTCTGTGTTTGAGGCCAATATTCAAATTTGGTCTACTTTGCTTATGAATCCACTAATTGGAAATTGTTTTTCAGGCTCATAATTTGTACAGAATGGGTAAACTGTACAAAAAATGACAGCAGGGGGAGGGGGGAGGGGCAAACAAGACAAAAACAAGTCAGGTGTGTTTACAAACACAAATGCCCCGCAACCGTGACTGTTTCCATGACATAACACCACTCTAACATCAACTTACATGTACCTTGGTCACATGGAACGTTCATTGACAGCATTAGTGTCTTCTGTAGGTTTTATATGAATTAATCCCTAATCCCTATGATCTCAAAATAAATACAAGATTTCTATTGTTTTAGCCACTGTGAACTTGACCCTTGACCTTTTGGCCCCAAATGCAATAGGCTTCTTAGGATTACCAAGAACAATCCACAAACCAAATTTGAAGTTCACATGTTAAGTATTTCTCAAGTTATCGCGCTGACAAGATTTCTATTGTTTTAGCCACTGTGAACTTGACCCTTGACCTTTTGGCCCCAAATGCAATAGGCTTCTTAGGATTGCCAAGAACAATCCACAAACCAAATTTGAAGTTCACATGTTAAGTATTTCTCAAGTTATCGCGCTGACAAGATTTCTATTGTTTTAGCCACTGTGAACTTGACCCTTGACCCCAAATGCAATAGGCTTCTTAGGATTGCCAAGAACAATCCACAAACCAAATTTGAAGTTCACATGTAAAGTATTTCTCAAGTTATCGCGCTGACAAGATTTCTATTGTTTTAGCCACTGTGAACTTGACCCTTGACCTTTTGGCCCCAAATGCAATAGGCTTCTTAGGATTGCCAAGAACAATCCACAAACCAAATTTGAAGTTCACATGTAAAGTATTTCTCAAGTTATCGCGCTGACAAGATTTCTATTGTTTTAGCCACTGTGAACTTGACCCTTGACCTTTTGGCCCGAAATGCAATAGGCTTCTTAGGATTACCAAGAACAATCCACAAACCAAATTTGAAGTTCATATGTTAAGTATTTCTCAAGTTATCGCGCTGACAAGATTTATCCGGACACACACACCCACACACACACCCATACTTGTTTCACATGACTAGTGTGGACTTTCCATTGCTTTCGTGTAGTTAAGAAAAACCAGTGAAAAAACTCATTTTTCTCAAACTGTGAAAACTCTTTCAACCCAATTTTTTTTCTATGATTCCCTTTAGTGTTTCTCTTCATTCTGCTACAGATAAACCTAACCCAAAAATGCCTCTAAACCTGTTTTCCAGAAATGGGGAAACACTGTGTGGACGTGGGGTAAGTCCACACAACGTCGGTGCTACCTACATTATGTGGACGTCTTTTGTTCGGAAGTCCACACTGCGTATGTAAGACAAACTCACCCACCCACCCACACACACACCCACACACCCACCCACCCACCCACCCACCCACCCACCCACGGAAGGACAAGGCGGAAACAGTATGCCCCTTCGGCTTCGCCGCGGGGCATAAAAAAAGAGAGGGAAAAAATCCAAAACCCAACAGACCCCCCCTCAAAAAAGGACACTTTAAGGATGGTCCAATAACAAAATGATTCTCCATTGTTTAATAAGATTTAGAGGTAAAGATAAAAATTTTATGGAAGTCAATTTGATCATGGAAATGTCCAGTGCAAGATTTATTCGTGTCTCATCTTCAACAAAAAAGCTAAATCTCTTCACAGCATGAGCGCAAGGGGAATTAATTAGCAGTGGTCGGGGAAGCGACTCCACGAGTTTTGTCGGACATATACTGCATCCACTGCCCTTTTTGCATTGTTCCTAGTTCAGTGGTGTTCAGAAGGCCAGTGTCTTAAGAACCCAGTAACACTTATCGCTAAGAGAAGGGGTTCGCCGTGGTGTTACTGGCAGTGCTATTATCCTCATACATATGAGGCTGCACTTTGAAGGAAGGAAGGATGGAAGGAAGGAAGTGTCTCATCTGCGGGTATCAACATCAGTTAGTTTTGCCCTCGTCCTTGATATACACCCAAGTTGCGGTTCCCAAAGAACTAGTTTGCTTGACGTTAATTAATAATACTAATAATAACTGTATTTATATAGCGCTTTTTGCCAGAGGATACAAAGCGCTGGAGGAGAATGCAACCAAAGCCAGGTAAATGAAGTATATGAACATATATGAACATATGAGACCCATTATGTAGCACCTTTTTGCTAGGTGCTGAGGCGCATAATTGCTGCCACTGCCAGAAACACCGGGGCAAACCCCTCCTCTTAGCGACAAGTGTTGTGTTACTGGGTTCTTTAACGTGCATTACACAACACACGGGACCTACGGCTTAACGTCCCATCCGAAGGACGAAGCAATAATGGTAAAGTACCTTGCTCAAGAGCACAAGCACCATGTTCCCACAGTCAGGATTCGAACCCGCGTACCACGGCACACGAGACGAACACCGTAACCATTAGACCACAGCGCCCCACGGTAGAATTCAGAATTCTGTATCCTCACCCCACTATTTTAAATACATGTATGTGAATTTGCCGCTGAGAAAATTTTGAAATTTGCTGGAAAAGCCTAAGTAAATTTACATTTCTGATTAGGGTCTGTGCACACAACCAGCAGAGACCGTTTCAAGGATACTGCCATGTTTTTAGAAAGCATTTCATTGAAGGAACATATATGTTCCGTCATGCAATAATTAACAATTGTTGACTGCTGTGATGTGCGATATGACGTTTTGAACGCCCGAGGGGCGCATAGCATGTCATATCCCACATCACAGCACTCAACAATTGTTTTGTTGTACCTCTTGGATTCTTTGGATTTTGATGTAAAAATAACGAAAACAAATAGCGGTAAAAACACAACAATCATTCAGCAACTCACATGCATGTCACGTGCTCGAAACAGCTGATCGTCTGCTAGTTCACTGCTCCCACTCATGCGTGAAAACATGGTGAAAATAGCGTGGGTACCAACGATACAAGCGTTTCACACCGTATACGTACCGTACGTACAAAGTCATAGCACACTCCTGCCTCACGTACGTGATATCCCACGGGGACTGTGCCATGACTTTTTAAAAACTTGACACGTAAGCATTCTAGGCCAATGAAAATACAGTATTCAAGACAGAGGTACAGGGTGAGTAAAAAAAAAAGCAGAACCCAAACCCCAAACAATATTTTTTTTTATATTTAACAAAATATGTAGCACCAAAAATAATAACGACTGGAAAGCCAATTTCAAAAGCTACTTTTAGATGAAAAAATTACTGAAATTGCTCAATCCGTTCAAAGAATATCACCATTTAAACACAATGACCCTAAAACCTGTCTCGTCCAAAAAAGCAATTTATTGTGTGTTTTGACTGTTTGGAACAACAAAGAAAATGACACAGAATACTTGTTTCAACAACTGTCACCAACTGTAGTACACAATATTTTGATTAACAACCATGGTTAGGCAAACAATATGATTTATAAAATCTACTTTTTTAAAAGACGGGCCTTCAAAAGGACTTTGTTGCATAGTGTTAACGTTTAAACTAAGATTTCATCGCTGGTGATGTTTGAAGACAATTGTGACGACGATTGTTGAAATCGCATTTTTGGACGAGACAGGTTTTAGGGTCAATGTGTTTAAATGGTGATATTCTTTGAACAGATTGACCAATTTCAGTAATTTTTTCATCTAAAAGTAGCCTATGAAATTGGCTTTCCAGTCATTATTGTTTTTGGTGCTACATTTTTTTTAAAATATGAAATATACTATTTGGGGTTTGGGTTCCGCTTTTTTTTTACTCACCCTGTATAACACTGAATTCAATTTGTGAAACAGTTTACAGTTATGTCAGGATGCTACACTCTTTGTGGCAATTGTACAATGAGGCTTGGGGGGGAACTCCCTAAATAATGACTTACTTGAGTTGCTCAGGGTTGACCCTCTGCATCTTGATGATCTCATTGTTGCAGGTTCGATCATAGAAGGGATTACTCCTGTCTGCAAAGTAGTCCATGATGTTGGCCCGACTCAGGTGTGGAATCCAGGCACTGTTGTGCCATGACATAAACAGAGGGTTTTCTGTAGGGAAAAAAACAACTGCAAATAAATATATGTGGATTTACGCAGGTAAAAACAACTGCAAATAAATATGTAGATTTACACAGGTTCATTTCGTTACATTTACAATATAATTTCTTACTTACTTACTTACTTAGGTAAGTACAACTGCAAATTAATATGTAGATTTACACGGGTTCATTTTGTTACATTTACAATAGGCCTATACTTTCTTACACAAAAGAAAATAATAGGCCCCTACATCTTTTGAATTCATGAGCATGCGCAAGAAAATAATGCAACTATTCGGAAAAAAATTAAAGCATTTTTAAAATCGTTCCTTTTTTAAGTATATTGGGTTTTGGAACTAGAGGTACATCTGTTTTGATCTATTTTGGTGGTTGTGTACAAAGTCTATGGGGAAATCATGATTTAAATAAAACTTATTTTTACAAAAATGTTTCATCACATTCCCAAAATCACATTTTTCCCAACAACATTTAAATTTGTGACAGTGAAGCTACAGGCCTCAACCCTATACACGTACCAACATTTTTTTTTGGTCTGAGCCTTTAAAAAAAATGGAGGCGGGCGCTTTTTTTTCCAATGATGGTGGATTATCCAAGATGGCTACCATTTTGCTTGATTCTTTTGCTGATACAAATTTGTGTCCAAAAGAGCCATATAACCCTTTCCACAGGGTTGTGCAAAAAGAAGTAAACCCACTTTTGGCAGGAATTTTAACCTACTTAACTTATTTGAACTTTTTTTTATTATAATGTAGTGAAAAATATAGCTCTTCCACCATACGTGGTAAAAATAACTTTTACAAAGTTGCAAGAATAGTGTTAAATATTTGAATACAAGTCACCAAAATCACTGTTGTCCACGTGCAAGTCTAGTGTAGTGTTTTTTGTCTTCAAATCAAGATTCACAGCTCAGTCAAGCAGACAAGAAGTCAAGTCAGTCAAGAACCTGTCCATGGACAAACAGGTTTGGCACATGACATGTTTAAACTACCCTATCTTGTGAATATTTCATAAAACAAAGGATCGACTTAAAACAGAACAAAACTGAGTTTGATATGCAAAAAATGGTGATTTTGGCGGGGCCGTATCATAAGTCCAACGCCTCATACATGTAGGTCCGACGCCTCATAAGTCCAAAATTTCGGACGTATGAGGCGTCAGACTTATGAGGCACAACATTTATTTATTCTGCCCAAGGCCAAAAAAAAAAAACCACTCGGTCTCTGATCAGCGTGCGCGTCGATTTTAATTATGCGCGTCAACCTTTTTTTTCTTCAAATTAACACGGAAGGTACAACAGCGCCCTCTATTGCCGCACCTCCTCAAATTTTTGTACCAAGGAACACCAAGGAATGGGGAAATTGCACCAAGGCAAATGATAAAGGGCACCAAGGCAAATTATGGAGGACACCAATGTATAATGAGGACACAAAAAAGCAAAATAGTACCCACCTTGTCTGTACAATTCAAGCTTGAAAAAAAAAAAAAGCCACCAAAAAAACCCCCAAAAAACCCACGTCGCCGCATCAATTCCGGAACTTCGGTCTGACCAGAGACCAACAGTTTTTTTGGGGGGGGGGGGGGGGTCTAATAGGTCCGACGCCTCATAAGTCCGACGTCGGAAAAACGAGGCGTTTAATTTCTCGGACTTATGAAGCATCGGAGCTACATGTACATGTACAGTGAGTATGAGGCATCGGACCTAATGAGGCGTCGGACTTATGAGGCATCGGACCTATGAAACGTCGGACTTATGGGCCTTTATTTGGTTAGGGGATGCGATTTTGTCAGACTTATGAGGCGTCGGACCTATGAGGCGTCGGATTTATGAGCGGACCCCATTTTGGCGGCTGTGTTGAGATCAAATTTCACGGCCTCTTAACGTTCATGTGTGTAGATTGACCTCCAGCTCTATATGTCCAATTCCCGATGAGCATTGGAGCTGGAGTTTCTCAACCTACTTGACGACCAGTTTCGAGCTAAACAAAGCAGATAAATGCACTGAAGTCTATGGGAGACGTGATAACCAAATCTGCATTTTGCAATTTGTTCAGCTAGTGAAAAAGAAGATGGAAACTATTTTTTTTTTGCACAAAAGTTGCATACTGGTGCCATTAAAAACAATCAAAATTTTGCATCTACCGGTACTCGGTTCTTCTCCTATTTCCTAATTACTCTGCAGCCTCCGCAGGCATGGCAGGGAAGTTTGAACAGGTACTTCATGACAAGAACTTTGATTTGATTTCTTTGAATCTGGGACTGAAATTGAAAAACATTTCCAATTTTGGCAAAAAATGTTGCAATCTGACGTCACTTTTTTCTTCATATATCATCTCAATGAAGCCTTGAACTTGAAGGTCATTCATTGCAAAAATGATGATAAGACATGAATCTGGGACTGAGAAATATTTCCAATTTTGTTAGGAAATACTAGGGCCTATTCCTTAGAATTTTGTTTTGACTCTCCATAGACTTTGTACACAGTCGCAGAAGTGGCGTCAGGTTGGAACATTTTTCCCCCAATTTTGTTCCAATAGCCTACTTAGAAAATGCACTCAACTCTCCACAGACATTGTACACAAACCAAAGAAGTGGCGTCTGGATACTAGCCCTACATTCTTTCCTCATGTTATGCCTGCTTTTTCACGAATTAAATGCAGTAGCAACAAAACGAACAAGATGTACCGGTCAAAACAGCCACCGATAACACCAAAACTGAAGAACAAAAGGGTGAGCAGGTACTTTACAAGTACCACGTTACAGTGGATTTAAGAAAAGCATATTTTCCATATTTAACCAACAAATATTTATACTTTCATTTACCTTTCTCAAGCGTAGCCATCGATCCCGATGTTTAATTTTCGATGTCACATTCTGTTAGTACAAAGAAAACAGAGGGCGCACTCTCTTGGGGAATCCCCGGGGAAACCCCTAATTCATAAATAGTGCTTCCGGGGCGGGAATACCCCACGGAATTCCCCAATACTCTCTTCACACAATTAACAGAAATTCGTTACAAAAGGTTATTTTTGTTGTGTCTCGTTTCCCCCTTTTTTGGCCGGGGTAAGGAGGTGGGGGTTGAGTACATCGCACGATATGCCTTATGCGTAAACTCCACTTCCCTCAACTTCCGCAACATGACACATGAAGTAAACGTTAAAGCTTGCAAGCGATTGTAGTAAATCGTTTAATTTAATACAGTTGCGATTATCTTCAACAATTTATTCCTTGGTATATGCTAGGATACTGAAAGCTTTACTTTCAGAAAATCCGAAGTCCATTTTCCACTTTCAAATCCCCATTAATTAAACGTGTGTTTCCTAGGCCTACATGACATTTTTTTTCGTCGCGAGTGAAGTACAAATTAGTATCTCAGTAATATTTGCCAGTAGTAGTAGTAGTGTCAGGAAATGATTGGACAAGTTTGGTATGGTTAACAGTCGACTGACGTGAATGAGATGGAATAAAGAATATTGATGTTCATGTATAAGCCTAATTAACCATCGAAATAAAAATTCAGTTTTGGAGACAAGTCAGACTTCTTCGGTTTCCCGCATCATCAGTACCGTTTAATAGTTCGTCGTCACCCTCGTGTTCAACGTCGTTTGAGGTCAAATCACGCCTTTCGGAGGCCCGTCACACTGAACGGACCACCGGCTACATTTATTTTCATACTAGGGTTTTTCCAGGATTTCATTACCTTGGATTTTCCCTACTTTACAAAATGATAATGGCAAAATAATAACAATTGTGAAACAACAACTTGTATACCAGACGGATCCAAACCCTGGGCATATATCCAGGTACCGCAAACTATATCTGGAAAACTTCCTTTTTTCATTTCAACCCATGATGAGCACAGTAAGGGTTTTTTTTTTTCAAAGGATGTAGGAGGATTTACCAACACTCGCGCGAATGTTTCTTCTCTCTGAGGTATATTTTTTTTAAGCGATATTTGTTTTCCCCCGCAAGAATATTCCCGTATGGAGGGGTTGGGGTAGATAGTAGCAATCACCCAGTGTCAAAGTCGAGTCGATCAACGCGTCTAATTCGTTGCCCAGTGTCACGGAGAAATCCAGTCCCACGTCGAAAATAACTGCCAATATTTTTTGGCTCATTGGAACATTTCGGATAGGGAGTGAGTGCAGCCCTTCCAACATGTGTATATCTGGGCAGTCTAGCGGGAAAGAGGATCGGCAGAAATCACTCCCGAGTTGGTGCTTCAAGGATTCAGGTTGGATGACATAGCTTTTATTTCAGTGCTGCACTTGTGGAATGAGTCCACCGACTGCGTTTTAAGAGAAACATGACAAATTACCATGACAGGTAAGTACATGACAAGAGAAATTTGGTGAGAAAGATCCTGTTAGTTTGAGAATATATATTTTTTTTCAGCAAACGGAAATTAGGGTTCAGAACAGGAGGGAATGAGGGAGTATCTGGATTCGGTGCTTTTTTAAACTGATGTATCATTATTCATATGAAGGTGATTGAGAACAAGCAAGCTCGCCAATAATGATTTTATTATACATACTAACTTGGAAAAGCAAGTTGGGGCCAGTCCCAAAAAGTTTGCTAAGTACATGTATAAGAGACTAGTGTAGGCCTATACCCTAGCCTGTGTGTGTGCTTCTTCGCACGTGACCGAAGTATAGGCTATTCTTTATCATCTATTTTTGGAAGTGATGTAATGGGATTCTCCATTTAAAAGGTTTGGCAACTTTTTCTCGAAATATATCAAACGCAACCATCAAACGTCCAACTCCTCCATAAAGTGCCCTCCTTACCTATACGTCTTCGAAAGAAATTTGTTTGATCACGTGGTGGACATGACGTTATTTTTGGCCGGTTTCACCTTTGTTCTTGTCATAACGACGTTGGACAAAGCGCAAGGTACGTAACTAAATTAATATTATCACTGTTTTGAAGCGGCTGATCTGTGGGAAATGTTTTTTCCATGCACAGCACAAGTTTTATGTACTTTGAGAAGCGTTTATAAAACTGGTCATTCTTATCTGTAAAGAGGATGTTTCAATGATATGGAATCGATCTTTAAATACATTTCTAAAAAAGAAAACGATTTTCAGCTACTTTTAATATTGCGTTTTCACATCACACTCAGAATTTAAAAAAGAAAAAGAAAAAGGACTTTTAATGTCAACTTATTTTTTTTTAATGTTAGGATGAGATTTGAGTGATGGTTTTTGCGCACATTTCATGATGGATTTTGAAGACCCATAAATTGTATAATTTGTTTTCGGATGAATTTTTTTTGTCAGATGCTCCGTTTGTGCGTCTTCAAACAATCTCGTCGATTGTCCCTTTTTACTTCTATGGGTTTAATATTTGTTGGCCTCTGAACTAAGGTCGGTCGGTCGGTCGGTCGGTCGGGAAAAAATATTAAAAATATAAAGCAAAAGAATTGCAGTTCCACCCGTGCAGATTGCTAAATTAAATGATGTCAAGTGCGTATTTTCTATATAGTGTTGCTTATTGTATGAGTTATTCATTAGTTGATATCACTGGATAAAATAAAACCATTTTTGGTAAGATGTAGTTGTACATTATACCTTCACCGAGCAGTTCGCTAACGTTTTGGATGTAATGACAGCCATGACATACCAGTATACAGACACCCAATGTAATGAGAGGCAATATATCATCTCATCTCACTGGATTCAACTGTTTGCTGTACGCGGAAACTGAGAGAACCAAAGAAATGAAAAGGGATGTCGTGATGCCCATGTGGTTTGAATTCAACCATTCGCCTTCTGCCTCAAGTTTAACTGGAGACTTGGTCTTTATGCGCGGTTCAAGTGTTGGGACTGTGATCGATTAAAAAAACATAATGCCTGAAGGATTTTGCAAGTTTCGCAAAAGGCCCCACCTCTTGCGCAATGCACTCTGGACTTGAATGTACTTGGTAGTTGAATGTACTCGGTAGTTGAATGTACTCCTTTGAAACAACGTTGACACACTCGGTCAAAAGTCTGACTCTGGAGAACTGAGTGAAAATATATTCGCTGCGTAGAACACGTGGCGATCGTTCCAGCTTTCGACTAGCCTACTCCCATTTTTCAACCAATAGTCCTGACTAGAAAAAATATGATCGACTTATCCCTCAAATGCACCGAACTTACCAAAATGCCTGGTAAAGTTTGACTTTCCTCGATCAAATCTAACGACACTTTTAACGAGTTTTTGCGAGTTTTGCTACTCATTTCGACAAGCCACTCGATCCCTCCTATGTTTATTCTTGTTCCCATTTGCGACGTCACATCATGGCACGGTTTGCGAATTCAAAAGGCAAAATCAATTCCATCCAACATGGCAAACTACAGGGGCGGTACACTCAGTGACTGGCATGATCTTGTACAAACTATTATGTAAATATTACTATACGTTATAGGAAGTAGTTTTATGCCTTTATGATTTTGGAAAAAAAGCCCAATATTTCCATTACTTCCACAATACCCTTTCTTAGTCATTTCTGTGGAAAAGCGGAAATGATGAAAAACTCGCCGGAAATAGAAAGGTAAAGGTTCCATTTTTATCAGACAAACATTACGAAATATTCATTTATACGTATTTGTCACGAGTACTCAATTCAAACTATAAACCAACATAGGGCTCTATCAACCATGTCCACGTGCTGTACTTGTCAAGTACTTTGAAGGTTACTTTCTGTTTGCATCACAAAGAGTATGGTTTATTTTTTGATAACTGCTCCATCAGCACATTTTTTTTCTTCGTCCGTGCTAATGATCTTTGACCAGTTTCATAGAGGCACTTGAAAACGGTAAATTGAAATGTTGCCCATTAAAACCGGAAATTCGTCTGACGCTCGCTCACGTGCATGTAGAATTTCAGTTGTCTTTCGTTGCGTAATTATTTTTGGCAAACATTGCCTCTGAAGTAAGCTTTAATACTCTTGATATGCTTATTTACGGTGGGTCTAGCCATTATTTGTATTATTATCATTTTAAGTTCCGACAATGGCTGCACAGTATGAATGAATGGAATGTTAGCTTTTACTTTCTCTTTTAAGATCCATCACAAACTGACACCGTGGAAAAACTGCCAGTAAATATGACATATAGGTGAGGCATGCCGCACGTTTTAGGTCGCTCACGCCCCCTCAAATGCATGGAGTTGGAAATCTCATCAGTCACCAAAATGATGATCCTTTCTGAGAACCGTTGTAATCGAGGATCGGAGTATTCGGGGAAACTCACAGTCGAATACGTGGAAGAAAATTGATGACCTTTTCCTTGGTAAAATAAAATGAAGATCTTAATTATTTTCCACCATATTAATCAGAATATATGTTGCATTAGTTATGATTTAACCGCGGTACGAAACATCGCTGATGAAATTTTTACAAGAGTTTGTATACTGAACGGAAAGTACTGTACTGAAATTTCTTTGTATTTTATACCAATGTCCAAAGATATAAAATGAACAATTGTCATGGGGCATTAATGGCGGCGGAAAGGCAGTAGCTGTGTCAAGGATAGTCCATTAACCAAGCGGGCATATAGCATCTCGTTATCGCCAATAATCATGAGCGTAAATTGGGGTGGGGTGGGTAGGATATCACCCCCCCCCCCTCACACTGACACACACGCCTTTTGACCGGATCATCCCCCAAATATTGTGGAATTTAAGAATACAAGAAATGGTATTTTGAGTTTTGTAAACTTTCGAACAGTCAAAAGAACATCAAGCTCTGTACAAACGCTTAAACTGTACCTTTCGGATGTACGGTAGGAGGTAACAGAACAAGTTTGCATGACATGTATACATTGGTATCATGAACGGTGCTCCCTTGTGTCATCAGGGGCCAACTCCACGGCGCTGCTAAGCACAAAAACTTGCTTAGCACAAAAAAGTCTGGCTTATTGACAAGCAGGTTATCAGCCAAAACTCCACGTGATGTATATTGCTCGTGATTAGTATTCAGCTGTTGTTTGCTTAGCATGAAAAATCACGTGGAGTTTTGGCTGCCATAACCTGCTTTTATAAGCCAGACTTTTTTGTGATAAGCAAATTGTTTTGCTTAGCGGCGCCGTGAAATTGGGCTGGTCTCAACCCCCCCCCCCCGCCGCTTTTTCGAATGTCGATGGCGGGGCCGGATTTGTAACATCCGCCCCCCCCCCCCCCCCCCCCACACACACACACCCACGCAGACACGGATTTACGTCATTGCCAATGATGCTTTAATAAAACACTATACACGAGTGTATATGCATTCTACCGAACACAACTGAATACTAGCTGTTCGTGGCTAAAATACCAAATCATTTTTATTAGGGTCCGTGTTCTTCGAACACAAGAGAACACTGGCGACCTCAGGGCCGGCTGCATGCACCGCCCAGTATGCCAAACCCATGGACTTCCTTTTAAAATGGGTGTGTTCAAGAGAGGAACACGAAAACTATTAATATCCGGGTGAATCTACTAGTTCCTACTACGTCATTGTATGTAAACATAATACCTCGAAACCGCTATTCGATCGATGGCACATTATACACGTACAGGCCTACTCGTATTATACTTGACGCTGAAGTAGGCCGCATGTCGTCACACTCCTGTTTCGTAGTAAAACAGGGTATATTAATTCAGTATGTTATTCCGTCGTGACAAATGCCACTTATAAGCACACTAATCGAAATCCTTACTTGGCTGAATGTATTGCATTGTTTCAAAAGTCTATGCCGATTCGACGAACTGAAGTGAACATTTACGTCAGAAATACTTTACTGGATTTCAGCCTACGCTGGACCAAGGGTAGATCTAAGGGGCGGTTGGGCGGCCCTCCGATAGACAAAGATTAATTGGTCACATATTGATTTAAGATAATTATATTATCACACATTCATAAATACCTCAGACAGTTTAGCCATTCCTATTGGTCGAGAGCCCGTCACGTGGCCGGTATTAAACGGACGATAAAGACATGGCTAGCTGGTCTTAAACACTTTTCCAGTGTCACAATAAAATGTGGACTCCTAAAAATCCAGTGCCTCTTATCGTTTCATTGGTTGAACGTTCACAATCCTCACGTAGGCATGCGCAACACTACCAGGGAGTTAGAATTTCATAGTTCTAAATTCAAAACGCAACGCGCCAGGTGCGTTCTGCGCGACATCGCATAGAACATGATACGCGCGCGTCAATCTCCATAAAAGGGTTGTTTTCATCTTACTCGCCAGCTGAACACTCCATTATTTTGCAGGAGGGATGATTCAAAAAGCATAAGGTGAATTTGTTGAACAAAATCGGGATGTTTTGAACGAATTATAAGATTTTTTTTTACCGAAAAGGTATTTATGAATGGGAATAAATATGTACTCCGTCGGTATTTATCACTCTGTTTAATACCACTTAGAGTCTGGGTGCTGATAATTACCCTCGCCTCCGGCTCGGGTAATTATCAGCACCCAGACTCTAAGTGGTATTAAACAGAGTGATAAAAACCTCCGGAGCACACATTTATTCCCTTAATATTACTTTAGTTTCCTGAACGAGGTCGTCACTCAGTATTGCACACCTTGATTCACTGCTTTATCAGGCATTTGGAAGTTTACTAATGAATCCACAAGCGCGCCCTCAACATTGGACTTCATTATTCCAACCACCCCCAGGGAAAAATCTGGATCCGTTATTATTTTATTATTATGTGGTTATTATTTTCAGTGGCATGGCCTGCTTAATTTTGTTTCCAACCCATAAAATGAGTCAAAAAACCTTTGCCACGGAGACATTAAAATTCTCCAACATTTTTGAATGAGGGGTGGGGAAGTATTAAGTGTTCTGTTGGCAAGAGCAGACTTGGAAATCATGTGAAAACCTTTGGTTATTCTTCCTAAATGAAACCTACCATAAACTGATCCGAGCACAAGTCGGCTACTGGGGGATAAACCAAGGTCTTTAAAATAGCCGCAACAATAAAGTCGAACAGTCATCTTAGATTAATGTTCAAAAATGCAAACTGTCCTGTTATTAATTTTTCAGGTAAAAATCGAAACAAACATTTTCGTCTATGAAGCCAATGACTGCCAATCCGAAATGTTCAAATCCGAGAGATTTTCAACATGAAATATCTAGCACTTTAGTGGATGACGATAAAATTAGAATCTTGAGTAAACTAACCTGGAAAAAGTCATATGTTTCATTTGCGAACAGGTGAAAAGAACAAGTTGATGAAAAAAATTATAAGGGCAGGAAATATGAATAGTCCATTGAAAAGATCAACGTTTTTCCGTGTCGAGTGCTTAGGAGACAACATTACGAAAACTTTTGGGGTTTTTTCACCATTGCAGGGGAACCTCTAATTGCACCACTTTGCGTAAACCCAGTCACGTCTGACATGGTAGCATACGACCCGACACGAGAGATGTGCTGCGATGGAACGCTCCACGATGTACGTACCACCACCGGACAAAACTGCTGTAAGTATGCAATCATAACTTGGATATCTCAATTTTAGTAAACTAGCTGTTCCGAACCCGTCAAGTTTCTTTGATATCCATCACCGAATAATTAGCCGTAACACTAAAAGATCAAATACATCATACTAAAATCGCCATTAATAATTCACAGTACGATTCCATCTTACTCTTTACACGGTTAATGAAAAACGGACTCTTTTACGGCAATATAATATCAGCGAGAACACTAACGCGTTACGTCCGAATTTGATTACGTGTCAAAACTTGCACAATATACATCAACAGTAAAAGACATTCCACCGGATACGTAAAGGTAGGGTTAACCTTTAGGGTAGGGTTAAAAAAACAATAGATAGATTCTGTAATGATGTAAATAGTAGACATAACGGGAGACAAACAGGCAACTGTAGAGAAAAGTAAATATGCACCGACTTCTAAACACAATAGACGGAAAAGGGAAAGAATGAGATGGAAGTGGGAGCGTGTGTGATATACCGGAACTAGGGCTTTGCTTCCCCCACCCCATTTGTGAAATATGCCGAGTAAGGTATTCAGCATAACGTTCGCTATTAATCCCACAAACCCCAGGTATGTGGACAGATAACAAACAATTTCTAAGGAGATCAAAAGTGTATAAACTATATGACGTCCGCTTTGACGTTGACGTTGGTGTGTTTTCCATGGAATGTTGAGGGGTTCGCTTGTCCCCACCACCCACGGTTGAATGACATTTAGAGTGTTGACGTCACTATGTGCATTATTATTTCGATCACATACAGGGTGATGCAAAAAGAAGGAAACTCACTTTTGACAGCAATTGTCACCTATACTTGTTGAGCATGTTTTCATACATTCAGTGTAATGGTATTAAAATATTGATCTTTAAACATAAGTGACGAAAAAATGACTGCAAATGCCTATTTTGTCTCTGAGATATGGTAGTTAAATGTTCATGTGCCAAACCTGTTCGTCCACGGACGGCTTTATTTATATCCACTTGACTGAGCTCCGGAGCTTGATTTGAAGACAAAAAAAACACTTAGAAAAACAACGAAACCCAAATGTCGGGACTATTGTTTTAGTAAAGTTCTACGTGTAGCACTTTCAAAATCGAGGATATGAAAGCCCAATTCATAAGGGTTTTTTTAAGTACAAGAATAATTCAAATCGCTCATGTATTTTCAAGTTACGGGATTTTAAACACAACCACCATTTTAAAGTTCTGTCCACGGATCACAAAAAAGGTGTGCGTTCTTTCTGCAAAACGAAAACAATTCACACACATCTATGTGTGATTTGTTTTCGTTTTGCTGAAAGAACACTTATTTTTTTGTGATCCGTGGACAAAACTTTAAAACGGTGGTTTGTTTAAAATTCCGTAACTTGAAAAGTACATAAGTGATTTGAATGATTCTTGTATTAAAAGAAAGCTTATGAATTGGACTTTTGTATCCTTGATTTTGAAAGTGCTACACGCAGAACTTCCCTAAAACAATGGTCCCGACATTTGGGTTTCGTGTTTTTTACTCACCCTGTACTTCACTACATTATATTAAAAAAACAAGCTCAAATAAGTTAAGTAAGTGGGTTAAAATTCCTGTCAAAAGTGGGATTCCTTCTTTTTGCACCACCCTGAAGAATAGTAGTGTGTTACGCAGGGGGTTGCCAGGATTTTACAGTTTCTGCCTGGGCATATACACTTGGAAGATGGGAGTGGGGGACGCACATGGTTTGTTCATGATTCGAATTTGTACTTGCAAAATATTGAATTAGCTCGTTTTAGGCCCCTTCTCTTTTGACCATTCTATTGGTGAATAATTCGTTTAGGTCTTGTTCTTGTTCCCTTTCTTTTTTTGCCGGTTGGTTTATTGACAATATTTTGCAGTGATCGAATTTTCCGATGAATGACCCACGCAATTCCTCTGAAAAAGGAAAGAAAAAGGAAAGAACAGAAAGAAAAGAGAAAGATTCAAATTGCGAATCAGAAATTAAGAAAGTTGAAAAGTAAAATGAAAACAATTAAGAGACCCTTGAGTTGTTTACTTTCCATTTTGTACAAAAGCAAACGAGGAAACTTGTAAGCACTCGGGCTGAAAAATGCAAAGTCATTTTTATTTGTTACAGAAGGAAGTGCACAGACATCACTCAGGCTGATGAAAAACAGCGCCCCCTCAATAGAACTCTCAGTTATTAGGGTGTATACAAATATGAACTTGCGCCCTCAATGTCGGTCGACTATATTTTTGAAGAAACGTCTTAATTAGTCTCTAAACTTGGTATCTAGAGATTTAGTGGTCTTAGTTTGCATGTTTAAAAAAAATGCGCTTAAAGACATTTTCATTTCAAACGCGCATGGGATGATGAAGTCTTATACTACTCTGCTGCACACGTAACGTCAAATTATTAAAATTGTGCATGGCTGCCTTCGCCTAACTCAACCCAAGACGTACGTATTGTAGTAAATTGTTGCGTAACGATTAGTTTAGTAACCGCGAACTATAGAATGCTGTTTCTATTGTATCGTTCCAATCAAAAGAGCTCTTATTTCTCAACAAACCTCCACGCCCATTAAGACACATCGCCCATTAAGACACATTGGTTTGAAGATGCCTCCAAGGTAACCGAATGGCCTAACGGTTTGATGCGTCGTCCACAGTCGCGGCGCCCCGGGTTCGAATCCCGCTGGTGTCTTTTTGGTTTTTAACGTACGCGTTCAGTCACTGACTATAAGAGATTTAATTTCCCGTCGTAAAGCACCAACAGTACCTTAGCTTAACCGGTAAGCACTGCTGCTGGTACTGTCCGCGAATTCCAGGTTGGCGCCTTCGTACAGGTTCAGGGCATGTGGTCCACTCGGAGGATCAGGGCTTAGGGGCCGCCCTGTTCCTCCCTTAGCTCTTTGCTTTTACATGGTGCCTGGCCCTCCGGGGTTATATGGATGGATAGGGAAGGAAGTGTGTATTGGTCGGGGACGCCGAGACCCCGGAAGAGAACTAAGGGATTGGCTGGGGCATTGTTATGGCTCAGACCGATCCCTGAAAGCTTGACTAGCACATAACTTTTTGCATTTTATTTTATTTTATTTTATTATTAGCATGTTGTGTGTGTGTTTATTTTAAATTTTCCAGCATTAAAATAGTTGTAAATAATCGTTCAATTTGCGAGACTGAAGTATATCAAAATGAATAAGTGACTACATGTAATCCATTAAAGGAGTTTGGAATTGTTTTAATTTTTTAATTTTTTTTTGACACTTTACGAAACGAAGGTTTGGTACGTGGGCATTGCCGTACTTCATGACCATAATGTACATGAACGATTTCAGGCCATAGCGGAATTGCCGTTTCTTTGTCCATGGTTTCATAAAGGCCGCGCAGTCTATTTTCGGTAATTTTTGGAATTTTATTTTTTATTTTTTTTTGGGGGGGGGAGTTTTTTTTTTAGTTAGAATTTCTTTTTTTTGGTAAGGTTTTTTTTTTTTTTTTATCTACCTGCCGTCAGCGACGCCCTTCCCCTGAGTAGTCTAGTTCCAGATTCATCAGGAATAGTCAGAATTAGTCTGGACTATTCTTGATGAATCTTAGGTCAGGCAGCCTCCGTGGCTAAAAATAAACATGACGACATTGATGGCTCTTTTTCAAAGCTCTCCTTCGTTTCCGATTTCGCTTTATCGCTTGTAGCTTTTAATGTTCTGATCAAATTTTTAAATAAATCACTTGTTTCATAATATCATACAGTTATGATAATACAGTTTGATGATGCTGTAAGATAACATTGACTAATGTTGATCTGGAATCTTCAAAATTAGGCACCCACATAGCACTGTTAGTAGGCGGAGCCGAATGAAGACCAAGCTTTGGAAAATCTCGGTAGTGGTCGTCCGTTCAAAATTGTACATGACGCAGCAAAAAGTTCGCCCATACGATCCGAGTATATTTGATGCACAAAATCGTCGTTCAATTTCAAGTAGTCTAAATGAAAGCAATGAATATAAATTATCAACTCATTTAAAATAAAATTAATAAGCAATTAGCAGTTAATCAAACCTATATTATATACTTCGGAAATTTTCGGAAAAAGGAGGAATTCCTCCCGTTTTAGTCACGTGACGTAAATTGTAATACAATGTATTACCGGTGGCTACCGGATCTAAGATTCATCAGAATAGTCAGAATCTTTTGGTCTGGGAACCAGACTAAGTCAGAATCTTAGGCTGCATCCGAATCCGTTGTCTAGAGCTAGGTCTAGGTCTTCGCTCCATTAGAAATACGCGGAGACGCGCTGACAATAGACGTAGCCGTAGCTCTGGAAGCCCGTTTCGGACACGGCCTCAGATTCATCAGGAATAGTCAGAATCTTTTGGTCGGTGAACCAAACTACTCAGTGGAAGGGCGCCGCTGACGGCAGGGAGGTAAAAAAAATTTCAAAAAAATAAAAAAATAAAAAAAAAAATAACTTTTTCCAAAAAAAAAATTCACCCCCTCAAAATTAAAAAAAAAAAAAAAAAATTACAAAAAAAAAAAAAAATTAAAAAAAAAAGATTTTCCAAAAAAACAACAAAAATTCAAAAAAAAAATGCAAAAAGTTACTAAAAATAGACTGTGCGGCCTTTATGAAACCATGGACCAAGAAACGGCACTTCCGCTATGGCCTGAAATCGTTCTTGTACATTATGGACATGAAGTACGGCAATGCCCGCGTACCAAACCTTTGTTTCGTAAAGTAAAAAAAAAAATAAAATAAAAAAAAAATAAAAAAAAAATATAAATTAAAAAAAAAAAAAATTCCCCCCAAAAAATAAAAAAAAAAGTGGGTACTAACGGGCTTTCTTAATATGCCGTCTTTGAAATATATTTTTAATTTTTAGTTTTCGTTTTCTCCAAAGGCGGAAAGCAGATTTTGGACAATTTGTCTCACATGTGTTGTGGTCAAGAGGCCATTCCTATCTACGATAAGAAGCGGTGCTGCGGCGGGACGATCGTGTACGACTCCGAAACGCAAATGTGCTGCGGCAACAATGTGTACGCCAAATCTGATGGTAGGTGCTTAAACAAAACCTAAAACAATTCTGTTCCAAACTTGCAGACATTGTTCGGCCTGTTTTATTATTCTTGGCAATAAATTCGTATGCCCTGGATAAATGTCCACTGCAAATCTGGTAAAATCGTTAACAAGATGTTTTTAACCAGATTGTTTCCGGCTTCGGCCTAAAGAGATTCGAGGCTCTTGACTTTGAGGACTCCCTCTCAATTCACAACCACTTTATAGTTTCAGGAAAGTTGCATTAAAATCAGACCATAGTTATATCGTTCCTTTTGAGACGGCACATACAGAGGGCCAGCCTAGCATATTTATAGCTACAGTCATCTGTTCCAATCTCCTATCTGATAGGCTGACACACTGATTAACTCATTGACTGATGTCACTTCTGAGTCTGGCAGTGCGATCGTATAGGATCACCCTGTAACTCCAATGAATCGGCCAATCCGACCTATGCTGTGCATGTAGACCAGATGCATAAATTAACTCGAAGTTAGACACGAGAGTAATGCGGTGAAAACTCAAAAATATCATCTCATATCATCAAAACAGATTACAATATGTGCTGTGGCAACTACCCAATGAATACCCTCCAGGACACGTGCTGCCATGTGATTGGCTCATCGGGGTTGACGTCACTACCAAGCAAGGGCAGAGGTCAGTGTTGTGGTCTGGACCTGACCTATGACCCCGAGACTCAGATGTGCTGCCAGGGTCAGACTGAAGATGCAATAGTCAGTGAGGTAAAATTTTAACTGTATAGTGGTTAACGATTCATGAACTGTCTTGCGCCTGCGCGGAGTGCGCGCTAATTTGGACACAAAACTTTACGGTCCTGTAAATCGCGCAGGTCCAAAAAAGAAAATTATTCTGAACTGTTCCAACTTACCTGACCAAACTTTTTGTTGGGTAATCTACAGTATCGTCAAGATCATACTTTCCAAATACACCAAAAGTCAGGTGAAGTGGGTTTTTTCCTTAAAATAAATGAAAAACATTTATAAGTGCATGAATAGAACGATCCATTTCCCGTCATCAAATATTTTTCAATTTAGCCACATGCTGATGATCAATGTCGCCCTCTGTACATATAGGAACACAATCTGCTCTGTGACGTACCTCTGTGAGAAGTTGAACACTGCCCTCAATGTTAATTGCGATATAACAAACTTCCACTTTCTTCTTTTGTGTTAAAGCGGAAAAAGTCCTGCCAAAACTGCTCTATAATGTTCATAGAGTAAAGTAAGAAAAAATAAGGCGACCACTCTTTCCACTTCAGTATTTAAGAACTCACAAATCATCCGAAAACTATTCTGATTAAGAAAAAAGCCGATTAAGAAAAAAAGCCTTGATGATAAAAACAAAATCGATCATAAGAAGTATGCACGGAATTAACGACATCTTGTTCAAATCATCAGGTGTCTGAGCCTAATTACCCAAAGGAGGGTGATTTTTAAGGAGATTCTTACGCAAGTTCTGTCACTTGTCTGTTGAGTCTTTCTCTTAAAAGTTGTCTTTGATTTGGTAATATTGCTTCCTCTATCAGGTTGTGCCCAAGAACGACGAAGTTGCGTGCTGCGGTGGTAGGGCTTACAGCACATCGCACCAACTCTGCTGCGCGGGTATCGTGCTGAACGCAACATCGGGCCGAACCGAGTGTTGTGGCAACACAGCGTACAATCCTGACAACGAACACTGTTGTGCTGAAACAGTGTTTCCTATTGGTACTGAAATGAATTTGTGTCTATTTTACTATTATTTGGGAATTTAGCTATACATTGTGTATTCCTGATTCTGATTGTGAATACTGTACAATTTGGTTCATCTGCCCAGAATATTGAGGTAAAAATATTGACTCAAGGTTGATTGAAACTTGCGACTGTTGGAAGACCATACTGGTTCCTCGTACCAAACGAGATATGTCGTCGAGATATGTGTCGAGATATCGTCAATGTATCTCTAGAGTGACTGTCAGAAACCATAATGAAATCCAAGTTCTCCTAGTTATTTACATTTAAGAAAAAAACCCAGAATGCATATAAATAGTAGTTAAAAATAATGCATACATTTTGAACAGTATTATAAAGTGTTGATATAAGGGTTTAATGATAGATTCATCACCGACCAAATATCTTCGGTGGCAAAACGCTCGCTAACAGGTGGTACTCGCGCACTCACGTGCTCCATCGACCAATTATGGTTGATTTTTCTTTCAAATTACAACCGCAAATCATTCTAAGAACTCGTGCGACATGTCGTGATTGTGATGCCACCTCAGATGTATCCTGTAAGCAAGGGCTGGTATGATTTCCCCGAATGAAATGCTCCCCCAACAATAACAACAACAACAACAACAACAATAAAACCATTTCTTGTTCGGATATAGGACACGGCAAATGTTGTGGCGACCGAGCCTACCATCCCAGTGGAGCCTCCTGTTGCCAAGGAGTGTTGCATGATGGGATACCTGAGGTTACCGGAGTCCAGGCATGCTGCGGTCCTCTATCATATCTGGAGAGCGAGTCCATCTGCTGTGCCGGGGAGATTCACGACAAGGCACCCGGTCTAGAATGCTGCGGCAAGGGTAAGGCGATGATATAGAAATTCGAAAAAAAATCTGAGAGCTGCAGACCGACGTATGACGATAGGAATGAAAAGGGAGCAATGGGACTTCATGTTGAGCTTGCAAACAAAAATTTAATGGTTAAAATGACTTTAAAGCTTTGGAATTTATCACAATAACCTCTCGCATATGATTTTATAAACTTAATTTCAAATTACAGGGATGCCCCTGCGAAAGACTATCAATCCCATAACTCAAAAGGCACTTTGGAATTTGTAATTGCTTGGACCTCTCACTGAAAACATCATGAGTAAAACGTTTTCACTTATTGAATCTACTTTTGGAGGTATTAACATATCTCTAGTACTCCCGTCGAAAATAAAATACTAGCATTGTCAAAATGCCTCTGACGAGTTATATGAAAGTAGGCTAAACTTCCAGTCAAATCCTCGTGAGTTTTGTTTTTAACACTTCAAAAGCCACCGTCGAATCCAATGCCAAATTAATTCATGCCATTCTTGTTTTCCTTAGACGCATTCAACAGCAACACCCAGCTATGTTGTGCCGGCAACATCCTGCCCAAATCCTCTCAAAATGACGCGTGCTGCGGTCGAGCCTCCTACGACCTGAGCACGGAGACATGCTGCACCGGCGGAGATGGCGAGAGCGATGGGCAGACATTTCCCCTGGCGGGCGGACGGTGCTGCCACACCGAGCACGGCAACGTGGTAGCCTACGACCCCAGCAAAGCGACATGTTGCACAGCAGGCAACAGAAATGGTGAGGATGCAATTTTGGGATGATTTTTTTTCCTCGATGGTACAAGAAGAGGAAAATGGCAGTCCTGCACTGATCAGGATTAAATCTTGTTTCTCAAAAAGAACTATGCGCTGTCTGATAACAAATGTTATCCTTCGGTTCTTCATTAATTAAAGCCATGGAATCGTCACATGCACCAAACACAATTGACCGGTTGATTGTCGATCAATTTTGAATCAGGTGTCCGATATAATGACACCGCATGGTATTACTTATTGTAGTTTTGAAGTGTAAGGACAAGGAAAGCTGCGATATTTTTCCCTTTGAGGAAGGTACAGAGAGTGTTCCTGTCATTTTGTATCCTTCATCATTTTGTCCATCTCACTTCACTATCTTCTCATCCCCACTATCACACCAAACAGGAATCCTGTACACGGAGGTAGCAGCGAACGCCAGCGTGTGTTGTGGCCGGTATCTCCTGGACGAGAGCACGCACCTATGCGACCCCAACGCTGGGCACCCCATCAGAAAAGCCACCCCAGCTGACAACCATGTCTGCAGCAACACAAACTGGCGTCGATCCAGGACCTACAATTCCATCACTCAGGTATTAAAGTTGCAGCCTCCACTAAAATTAACCACTAGAGAAACTTGCTCGGGAGATAATAAAATATCAAACGGGGCCACTAGAAACTCTCAGTTTGAAACTGCAAAGATTCAGGACTTCGAAATAACACACTTGTCACTCCAATTGAATATGTGTATTCATTTTTCAAAAGGGTGAATCAAAGACAATGAACCGTCTTACACTATATAGGCATCCCAATAGTATTTTAGGTTTAGGGAGTGTTTGCCAATCAGTTGTCGTTTAAACACTTCAACATTATTTTGTCAGCTTTTTGGTTACAAGATTTCTGCATGATTTCGAACTAACGACGTCTGTCATCATAATCACGCTTATTTGGACAAATGGTAAAGTCTGTGAGTAATTGACAACGAAAAAAATGGTAAACATAAAAGTTACTGATGCTCTCCATTTGTAGGTTTGCAGCCGAGGGAGAATCAGGTCCAAGAATCGTGTGGTGAACCTGAATGGCTGCGGTCCGTTCACCCGAGACCCTGACACGCAGATCTGCTGCATGGGCAGGATCCATCCCAACGAGGACAGACACGGTAATCCGCGGTTCTGCTGTCGTCACAGCATACGTTCCTATGTGCCGCAGCACCAGACCTGCTGCAGTGGCCGTGTGGATAACATCCCAGCACAGACTTCAAAGTACGTGGAGTAACTATTAAGTAGTGTTCATCCTGCTACAATTCAAACGGTCGTGATTCACATTCAATACTTGAATATTGTATTGCATTCTTCAAAGTGAAGAACCTTTTGGTACCCACAGACCGACATCAAAGCACCACACCAAAATATAATTATTAAGCAAGAAACACATTCGACAATTAAATAGTCAAAGGAGTATAACTATATAGGATCATTTGCTTTTCACGCATTTTTTTTCGTTTCCTGAAGTTCCAGCCCAAGTTGATATTAGACTTTTTGAGAAAAACAGTGAAAAATCATACTGAACCTTTTGATCACAGAACGCCATTTCGTCAATAGCACTCTGTTTGTTCCAATTATCAGTCAATCGACTGATCGTTGGAAATCACCGACATTTCTTAATTTCTTGGAAACGAAAGCAAGCCAGACGGACTAAATTTCGGGGTGTTTAGTGCCAGTACGATCTTTATAATCTTTCTGCCTTCGGTAGGTTAGTTGTTGGATAAATGCAAACTATCCCATATTTCTTTAAATACAATTAGGCCTAACCGGCGTTGAAAAACAGGACAGGTTTAATTCGCCGTGGTTCAGTTTCATGTCGTAGTTCACTTTCCGTACGCCGTAGTGCACTATTTATATTTTAAAAAAAGTGAACCACGTCTATTTGAAATGTGAATCACGACCGTTTGAAAAGAGAACCTCAACGTTTCGAAAAGGAAATCACGACGTCTTAAAACAGATACCAGGCGTCTTATTTTAGAACACCATACTGTCAAGATGCCGAAAGCAATTTAGAAACAATCATTATTACCAAATAGTAGAAATACATGTTTGTTGATATAGTTGTACTTTCCCTTTTCACACAAAACCTACAAATAATATTTAAACTATGTTCATTTCAAAAGAATAAAGTTTCACATCTTTCACAATCGACGTAACAGATTGTTGTTTTCAGATACACTTCTAAGATATTCTATATACGTCTTAAAAACACACAGGTTTAGAAATAGGCCAATCTTTTCACAATAGAAGCATATTACTTCACAGTTGATTACATTAAAATGATATTCTCTTAATGTTAAGATGCTGCAGAAACAAAGCGTACAACACCGCAACGCACACCTGTGATCGCAATGGAATAGTCCGGCAAACTTCGGAGATGGCCCTTTTCCCATTGCTGTGTGGCAGTAAGCCCTACCATCCCTCGGAACACGAGTGTTGCGGGGGAGTCCTAATCGGGCCTGGCCAGACTTGCTGCCGAGGGGCTGTTTATGAGACCAGTGACAGCCTCCTGGGTGAAGGACGGTGCTGTGGTGGGGTCAAAGGTTACAACCCAGGTCGTGACCTCTGCTGTGGGGACATCATACACGAAAATGTTAACCAAGGTAGAGTTTTGTGAGCTCATTATTATAACTTTATCCCCTGTGCAGAATATGCATATATCGCAAGGCATCCTATTGGGCCCATAATGCCTCGCTATATCCATTGACATAAGAAATTGTAAACAGAAATCCTTTGGCTAACTGAAAAAAATACAACTTACAAAAACTCTTTTTGGTTAAGTAGGGAAAAGGCGCATTATCAGTATTTTGGTGGGGGGGGGGGCACGGAACATTGTGGGGGGGGGGGGGCACGTGTCCACCTCCTCCCGTGGCTACGCCACTGCTATAGAGAAAAAAAGGGCAGTAGCACCTAAATGTTGAGTTCAGGCCATTTTATTTTAATTATGCTCTTTGAGTATCACGATAGCGGGGAGCTGCTCATGTCTAATTTTCCAACTTGATGTTCTTGTTTAAAGGCACACTTTGCTGTGGCTCTGAAACTTGGCATCCTCAAGACTCCGACCACATTTGCTGTGACGGAAGGCTCCAATCAACATCCGGGGGCGTCAGGAGGAGCTGCAGTGGAGGGACAGCATACAACATCATGACAGAGACGGTGTGCGATGGGGTTGTCCACCCTCAATCGAATGGTATCTGCTGCGGGAAGTTCGTGTACGACGACAGCAGGGAGATTTGCTGTCGAGAAAATGTGTAAGTCCAACAGTCGCGGTGATGTCATCGTCAATGATTTATTTTTAGGTCGGTCGTTTGTTGTTCGACTTTTGTGACGAACTTCATTGGAAAAGTATTGATTACGAAATAATTATATTGATTACTAGCTGTTTTGGGCTGGAAAACGAAACTATATAATCTTTTGTTTGGGATCTTTTGTTTGGGGATCATCTATTGTGACGTATATGAAAAGGGTAGGAAAGCTTTCTGAGAGCCTTTTCAAGTAATCTTTCGTTCGGAACGTTAATATTGTGACGTCAAATGATGAATTTTTGTCTGATAGGGAAAATGAATCACTATTTTTTTCTAATAACTTCCTGATTTGAGCAAGCAAAGAATTCAAAATCTTTTCAAGCGTGCACTAGGTGTTTTACACTTTCGTTTTCTTTGAATGTAGAAACAGACTTTGAACTACTCCTTTTCGTGCCTTAGCTACCAAACACAGCTATGGCTCGGCTGTCCTGTACTGGAACGATAGTTCGAAGTATTACTTTTAAATTTTAGGAGATTTGATTTATGCTATCTCATTTCAGATATCCCAAAGAGACGCCACACACTCTGTGCTGCGGCGCGCTGACCTACGACCCAACAGATTCCCAGCAAAGATGCTGCGATGGTAGCCTGCACAGAGATACCAGCGGCTCCCGTTGCTGTGGCAACCAACTCTTTCACCCTAGCAACCAGTTGTGTTGTTTCCACACGGCATCACACAGTGCGTCATACATACTGAGCGCCAATGGGAACCGGAACTGCGGCAGTTTGCTTGACGCCCGTGGCACGATGCACGTTAACTGTAGTGGAACGATGCACGTCGCTACGGAAAATGGGGAGTGTTGCCGAGACGCGTACATATCGGACGCCCAGACTCAGATGTGTTGCGAAGGCAATATCGTGCCAAAACTCTACGGAGCGAACTCTATATGTTGTGGTGGTGCTGTTGTTGATTCAGCAGTGACACGATGCTAGGTGCGAAATTCTGAGGTACTCTACCAGAGTTGGTAGAATGCTTACCGTAAATTGGGATAGTCTTAAAGAAAATAATATAGTTACTCACGTCCTATACTTTGCTGCCAAACTGCTGTTGCTTTCCATTAATTCAATCAAAATTAAATGTACTTTGCACATCCGCAGAGCTACGTCCCTAAATGTCAAATACGTCGAGCAAACATCCTTGTCCTTTGTTTTTGTTTATCCAGGACAAACATAAATCCAAGACAGAGTTTAATTTTCGTATGGATTATCTGCAAATCTAAATTCGGTATCTCATGTTGAGAAATGTGTGTAATGTATATGCATTGGTGCATCCTCGACCCAAATAAAATTCATTTTGAACATGGCACACAAAACACAGTCTGTGCATGGCTGACAACAGTTCAACTGTATTTTCAATATTTTATTTATAGTATTTAATACATTTATTAGGCCCTATAACCTGTTTTTATAACGAGAAACTTCAAGGCCAGATAATTTTTATTAGCATAATATTTCAGAAAGCACAAATGATAATATATAACTTAAAAGTTTTTAGGTTTAAATTATTGTTTCTGTATTACAATAGGCCAACCATATAAGCGCGTTTTCTGAGGACTGACAATTTTCTTAAGAGTAACCAGTTTGCGATTTTTTCAAATTGTTGTTACATATTTGTATACAATCTAATTTCGCTTATATACTGCACTATTTCTGCTACTTGTAGCTCTTATAATTTGTACCATATAATGAAGGGCACCAATTTCGGTATTAAAAATACAGTGAAAATGTTTTGTTACGATTATTCCTTTTATTTATTTAATGATTGGTGTTAATCGAGGATTTGTTTATTGTTCCTCATCATCGATCTTTTGTTTATATACTCAACTTTTTTGCAACAGCTCCAGTTGGTTTTGTACACGTTTTCTAATCGAGGTCATCATCGATTTGACCCCTGTTTGACTCTCGATCCTGTTTGACTCTCGATGATTCGTCACGTGTGTCCTCGATTTACGCCATAAACATGCACGATCACACATACTGGAATTTGTATCCTTGTGGAGACATTTCTTTGATCTGATACACCGTGCCCTCTGGAGACATGCACACAATAGGGAACATGCACACAAATAGGGAACAAAAGATTGTATACGTCTCCACAGGGCAATATAATACGAAACCTTGTCTCCACAAGGTTATCACGAATTAGATATATGGACTAGCTTTACTCAAAAACTAAGAATTTCCAAGGTATGTTGATCCGTCGCAAATGGAAGAGTTTTAGAAAAGGGATATTAAGTCCGAATTTCAGCCATGGGAATTAATTCTGGTTAAAATAAGAGCATTTTGAAACTACACTTTCAAACTCGAAAACTTTACTACATGAGAACGCCCCCCCCCCCCCCCCCACACACACAAACACGCACGCTGACAAGTGGTTGGATGGTAAGATCACCCCTGTGAACAAAAACATACTACCGATTATATATATGTACACACAAAGAAGTATACAAAAACAAGCAATGGAAAGAAATTCACTTTTTTTTCCCAAAGTTCCACAGCCTCCGGAAAAGTTCCAGGATTTTTCCATCACCCCCTAATCGTCCTCCAAAATCGTCCTTAACAAAAAACGTCACCAGGAAGTTCAGTGACTTGATAAGACTGCTTAATAGAGACTTCCGTTCTTATATTTAAATATCACATGAGGCTTGAATAATTCTTATTGAACATTATAAATCCGTGCATTTTTTTCAAGATAAAACTGAATTGAACTGATCACAATTTAGCGATTCCCTTTAACCGAAAATGACGTATTGCCTGACCCCACTGTATTATTCAGGACACCATGAATGGCATTCCACACGGAGTGAGTCATCCATTCATAACAACTGCAGCTAGCTTTCATCATCGAAGTGGGGAAATCCCTACTATTCCCATTTGATGTCGCAACATGTACACTGTGTACGTCACGCCGCACCTGTGTGATGTCAATAGCCAATTCGACATCCGTGATGCAATTTTTGGATGAACAAACCCAGGTGACTGCTGTACTGTAGCTTGCTATATCTATTAAAGGGATTTTGCTTTTGCTGTAATTTTCAAGGACCGTGGTGACGTGTGTTGTTATCCAAAAATTGCATTGTTCAAATGTCGAATGACCTTCGTGCAGTTCCTCCGAACCAACCAGGCAGTACCCTACCGAATCATTTATGGGGCCTATAGCCTACTAGTAATAAACACCCCATGAAATAATTCTGTCTGGCTTGCTGTCATTACAAAGAAATCAAGAAATGTGGGTGATTTTAGACGATCAATGACTGAGGTTTAGGAATAAAGAGTTCTGTTGACGAAAAGGCTGTTACTGTTTTCTCGAAAGGTGTTTTCCATTGAAATGTCTACATTAAAGGGAATATACATCATTTGCTTTTACTGTAATTTTCAGAAATGGATGGAATTGGGGGGTTGGAAATATATAGCAAATATAGTTTCACTGACTTTTTTGAGGTTTTGGGTTCGAAAATGCTATAAAAACCAAGAAAAACAATCATTTTCCTAGTAGGCTGGTTCCCTGACTCCATATAAGAAGAAACAGAGCAGTTTACATACATTGGGGAATTGTAAGGTCAGGGAACCAGTCTAGCTGGCTCGTACTCGTTCATAGGTTTGTAATCGATTGCAAACAAGTGCAATGGTCAATTGGGGCCAGTATTTGAAAAAAGCCAGTTTTTTCCTACGCTGATCGGCCGATCAGCGTTGGAAATTGATACAAAAATACCACTTTTCTTGAAAATGACAGTATACCAGGTGCCATGATTTTACAGGATGATTTACACTGTCATTCACTAACAGTCCAGCAAGGTATTTCAAAATGATTTGGTAGTTTTATTTTTTGATGTTTGCAAATGTTGTATTTTCCCTTTAAAAGGTTGGGTTTTGATATCCTTCCGAAGTTTAGGTTTAGAGTGGTGTTTTTATTGGAAACGAGCACAATGCACGAAAAGCAAATGATCCTACACTCTAAAAAACAACTCATTCAAATATTGACTGGAGTTTTCCTAGTTATTGAAAATTGACCTGGAATTTAGTTAAACGTGCAAAGTTTCATACTACGCTAGAAAAAGTAGTTGGATTTGACTGTTAATTTGGATTTTGTTATTAATTTTGAATAACTATTTTTGCTATACTAGTCAATAAAACTGACTGGAGAAATCTAGTCAGATTTTTAAAGTGTATATTATGCAAAGTGGCGTATATAGGTGTCGGGCAGACAATTTTTGTTCTGACACCTGTCGAAGGTTATTGTAATTAATAAAGGGATGCAAAAGGAGGGGTCGGAATGGGGTACTGGCGCTTTTACCGGTTGAGTACTTGATGGAGTGAACACTAAAAAAGCAAAGTTTCAGCTGGGAAAAGATGCCCCTCTCGCCCCCAAGACATGGCAATGCTTAATTATAACAACATAACGTAAAACTGAGATAGAAATAGATAGAAACAACGCCCAACATGTGATATTGAAATGGAAAATATGCAACCGGATCAACCGTTTTCGATTTATGTGACATGGTCATCGTTATTACAGCAATAAAGGAAAAGGAAATGTTTGTATCTCAATTAAATCGTACATTACTTTGTTTTGTTTTACCGCCCAAAATGACTCAGCATTAATAGTGAAAGTTTACATCGAAAGTATAAAACAGTGTACATGGGATGCAGTTGAAAATATCTACTGACAATCTTTCTACGGGCGTTTAAGTATCCTTCGGGTTTAAAGCGTTTTCATCTGCCAGTGATGTATCTCCGAAACAACCAGTTGCTAGAATTTTGGATATTTTGCTGTCGTGAAGTTTCTTTTCTTTGGCGATTCGTACGTTGTTGTGTAAATACAAGGCAGTAAGCCAATGTTGTCAATGAACAAATTTGGGGTTCACAATTTGAACAGAAAAGCCCTAAACTTAATAGTATCTTCCTGGAATGACATCACAGCAACAGCGACCCCAGTTGTCCAGAAAAACATATACAATTTTTTAAAGTTGAAAGAAATGCACTTCTCAATAAATTAACCGAAAAGGGATGTCAAATAGTTTTCACACATTTAAGAGGAGTAAAAAATTGCACAAATATGTTTCTCATAAAATTCATCTCATGAATCCTTTATATTTCATGGATGGGACGGTGTGCATATACTCAAAGAAGACAAGGATGGGGTGGGGAGGGAGGGAGGGGGGCTTGAAAAGTACTTGATTCTCGTCAAAACGTAAAAAGGATCAGAGCATTTCAAGTGTAAACAGTCATTCTTGCCCCACAAAATGCAAGAGCTACTGGCCCTGCCCAGGAAGAAATTATTCAATTAGATATAAAAATGTACAGAAAGAGTAAAAAAGAAAGTGACTAGGATTAAAGATTTGTCCACCTTAAAAAGCAATTGAATTTGACACATCAACGAAGCACATAATTGTATTAAACGAGCATGTTCTGTCACTCTTTAAAAAAATAAGGTAATACTGAAATTGATCCATACTACGAGAAGATATATTTTACTGAAATACTCCAGTAAACAGCTGTCCAGGGAATGCAATTTGAAGCTATTATGAGCTGTGTGAGAACAAGGGGTTACACACATCAGGCATTTCGATGCAATGAGATTGTTATAATTTTTGTTAAGACTGACATAGTATTTTCAGCTGCGGGATGGCAGCTCAACAAATCATCACGTCTCTCCATTTAATCCGTTTGTTAGTTAGTAACAAACGTTGACATTGTCTATTGCTCCTTCATATTTTGACCGTTAAGTTCACTAACAAAACTGTGTCAAAAGTATCAGTAGAACAGCCCCAACATGGCACATAGCCAAACTAGGTTCAAAGGGCATCATGGGGTCACTGGGGTCAAAAATCTGATCTTGTTGTACTCGAAACACTACTCCTTCCAGAAATTACATGGCACATCACGAGACTCATGCATGAACACGAATTCGTTGGCCCGCAGCCTCCGGAGTTGTTTCTGATCGAGCTTGTTACTGTCAGATTTCGTGTTTTGAATTTGAGGAAACTTTTCTGAAACAATGATGGTGATTTGTGCCAATTTTGTGTGTGTGTGCAAATCTGCGTTCATTCACGAAGTCAGGAAACTGCCCTTGTTTCATCGGATTTGAACGGTAAGTGCGGATCATCGGTGGACAGATAATTTTGTGATGTTTGTATAAAAACAAACGGACACAACTTGTGAACGCAGTACGCACATTGCGTGAAAAATTCTCAGTTAGGGCCTACTAGTCAATAATTTGTACTTAATCCCTATGTTATTTTGATTAAATTGGGCGAGCCACATATTTTGTATTTTTTTCATTAGGTCACTGGTTTTTTTTATACTGTACATGTATAGGAGGTGTAAGATAAAATACACATTAGCCAAAAATCACTTGCCAAAACAAATATCTAATCACCATGTGAGCTAGGTCCCTTTCAAACTTCTTGACAAAAGGCATTTTCCATTAATATAGCAATATACACGAGACTGTTACACTGGTTTAGAATTGGTTCCATAATATTTCTTGAACTTCCTTGATACCTTTGTTTCGGTGCTAGTGTCTTTTATGTTTCATTCTCTTTTTTTTATGACTCTGTAGTCCAGTGGATAAGTAGGAGGTTTAAGATAAAATACCCATTCGAAAAAAAGATCACTTGCCAAAACAAATATCTAATCACCATGTGAGCTAGGGCCCTTTGAAACTTCTTGACAAAAGGCATTTTCAATTAAAGGGAAAATGCAATATTTGCAA